AATTAGAAATTCAAATATGTTTGCCATTAGTTCATGTGTAAAACAAACACATCTGTGAACATTGTCAATTGACAAAGAGCAGTTTAAAAACAATATGTATGAGTTTAACCAGTGCATGTTTAAAGCAACAACAACAACAACAGGCACTACACAGAACTTCTTTAAAATTAGATAGTACCAGATGCAGTGGCTCACATCTGAACTCCAGCTACTTTGGAGGCAGTGATCAGGAGATGCACACATGTTTATGCACACACACACTCATACTCCCTCATATTACTCATACCCTCATAGTTCAGAGCCTGGACTGGCAATTCACATACCCTAGAATGATTACTCTTGAGTAATTCAGGTCCATCTTTAGCTGTGCCTTTAGTCTCCAGTTTAAATTGTAGATTTAATTCAAGTATTCATCAATGGTCTTCTGTCCTATTCCCCCCCCTTCTCTACCAGCTACCGCCTGAAATGCATGTCACTACCCTGATGAGCAGTGATTTCAGGACTTGTGTGAACTCCTTAACACCACATGTTGTGCCCTTCCTATTCCTCTGCCATTGGTAGCTGCTGCCAATAGGCCCCAACCTTCCCCCCCCCCCCCGCCCCCCTGGGACTTCACACTTGCTCCTTTGGACTCACCCAGCTTGTTCCTAATTCCTGCTTACCCTGATCCTCACCAGAAGGCCAAGGCTGCTTGGAGCCTTGTCAGAGTCCTGGGTCCATGTAAGAGCTTAAGCCTGCATTCTGTGGGCACTGGGTCTATTCTTCGTACTTACATAGGTCCATTTCCCAGAGCTGTTGGTGGCAATGACCACATACTTTTACATGTGCTTAGAATGTGAAAGAGGCATAAGAACCATCTGCCAAATGTGTAATTAAGCAAGGAAGTACATTGAAGAATTTCTTTCTTCATCAATTAGGGAAGTAGGCACTTAAATGTGAATCAGTTAATCTTTGGAACTGTTGCTTTGGAGAGATGTGTGGGGACCACCTGCTATTCCTTGAGGTGTATGGTCACCCCACCATCTTCCAGGATGTACCCCACATGGAAGCATAAGAGAAGGAGTGGGAATGCTGATCAGTTCAGACCACTTTCTACTGAGAACCTTACCTAATCTCTCTGTGCCTCCATTTCTTTATCTAGTGAAAGAAACTAAACTAGGTCTCCCCCTGAGAGAGCCATGAGCTAATCAATGGAAGGCGCCAGGGGAGGAGTCGTTTCATTAGCTATTGAGTGACCACTGCATGCCTGGCACATTTTCATGAAAAAAGGAATATATATGTATATAATATATATTATATATATACATATGTATGTGTGTGTATATGTGTGCCTTTCGTGAGAAGAAAGATGTGATGCACATAGAGTGGTAAGAGTCAAGAAAGAATACAACAGGTGTAAGAGGATGGCATACCAGAGAGTCAGCCCAAGAACTCTTCCTCCCCACTCCTCCAGGATATAGTGACCGGTGAGAGACCTGAGGGAGGGAGTCAGGGGTAAAGGCAGCCAAAGGGCCGGAGCCCCTCTTACCAGCAGAGGGCACTGTGATCCGGTGGCAGGACCCAGCATCAGAAGGCAAGAGAAGAGGTCCATGGGTACCTAGAGCTCCAGGTACAGATGGACTGAATCATCAACAGCAAGGCTCAGTTCACTAATGTTTCTTGGGCCTTGACTTCTTTTATTTTTTTCTCTTCTCCTGTACTTAAACAGTATGAAAGCATTTTTTTAACTGTCCCACCATGCTGTAGCCCAGGGCAAGTCATTTAGTTTCTCTTTGATTCTAGTGGATTGAAACCCTTGGAAAGATTATGTCTTCTTTAATCAATACACCTATAATTTTGGTCTAAATGTCGAAGTGCTTTGAAATTTTGGAAAGCTGTACAAACATCTGGAATTGCTATTTTTGCTTAGTGATTTCCGTGCTTCTGGCCCTTGAACTTCCGTTGAGTTCCATCGAACGTTGTCTCCCCTTTCTAGTGTTCCTGTGCTCAGCACTGGGTATGTCGGCTGCTTGAACAGTCACAAGTTGTGTTGTGTGCTCCTGACAAACCAGGTTACTCAGACACCTCATGGAAGCTCAGCTTCAGAAAGAGGACTGTATGTAGGCAAAATGTCTGTGGCACAAGAGGTGCATGTTAATGTGGCAAATCAGTGCAGGCAACCTGCAAGCTTCTGAGGAGTGATCCCACATGTCAGTGAGTTGGTCATGGAATGATTTAAACTGTATAAAACCCTTATCATCAGAAACTCCATCAAAATGCTCTTATACTGTCAAGTCTTAGAAATGAGATGTCATATTTCCTTCACTCCAAGCTTTTGTAGCTAGTGTTTGCTATGTCCACTGGGCAGAAATCTGTAAGAATACAAGATGTGTGAAATAAAAGAAAACGTTGCATTAGTCCTCTATGACATTGAGATGTGCATAATGTCTAAGTTACTGAGTTGTTCACAGAGGTTTTCCTATTTAAGAATCATGAAACTTATTATATATAATCAACTTAAGCTTGTGAAGTTCTTCCTTGTGTCTGGCCCAAATCTTCTATAGTTTGAATACATTTCTTTTCATCTCTGCAAATGGAAAACAGCTGCCAGCCTTTCCGATAACAACCTTTGTGTACTTGAAGATGGTGATTAAGTTTACCCACAGCCTTCTTCCTCCGCTAAGTAATGCCTTCAACCCATCTTCAAAGTTTCCAGATCCCTCCCCCTTAATCATCTCTTGATCTCCTTAAGCTGTTCTACATTCTTCTTTAACTGTGGATTCCAAACATTCTAGGGGTCCTTTGGTGGTCCTATGTCATTGTCATTCGTATGGGAAATGAACAATTTTATCAACATCCAGAAAGACAAGCTGTTGTTAGGCTCACATTCTCCCAGTGGACTGGGCCTAGGTTTGTGGCTGCAGATGTGCATTTGGGAATATCAGGCCTGTTGAACTCAACCTCAAGCTCAGCTCTAAGAAACACGTGCTGCCCTGTGCCGCCTCTTCTGGATTCAGCAGCCAGGAATCCGTTTCCAGTGGTTTCCTCTCTAAGTATCCCAGTGGTTTCCAGTATTTTAGGTTTCCTGTGTTTTGCTGCTGTTTCTTTGTCTAAATCAAGGCATGTGCAATGATAATGATATGCCTTAGAGTCTCTCTTTCTCTCCATAGATAGTTTGCTTTGGAATAGCCAGATAGGGGATAGGGGACGTGGTTTTCTGTGTCTTCTCTCATTGAAACCATGGAGCAGAGAAGCTCTCAAAAAGAGAGCACAGAAAGTTAAGAGAGCTGCGTTGTGTCATTGAAACAGTGGTGATCATATGCCATCTTCATTGCTTGAGGCTTTGATTGATTCATTGATACCACCTCTGTCCTCTTTCTCCTCTGTTTCCCCTAAAGCCCTGTGTTCCTTGGAAACTAAGGGATGTTGGGTCACCGCTGTCAGTTAAGGCACAGGGGAGTCTGACCAGAGCGTTCCATTGCTCACTTCCACAGGCTTCTCCTGCTGAAGCAAAACCCAGCTCATTCTCCAGTCAGCCCTGCAGCGTCCGGGGGCATGGCATTGGCATGGCCAGCACGTGACCTCAGACAAGCGCAGGCAGGAGGGCCGCATCCCTCGATGGCATGACTAGATATGTGGGGTCAGCTTGGAATGTGTGATCAGAAGTGTGCTGATAAGTGATCTGAAATCCTTATGACATTCCTCTCTCTAGATATAGGGCTGTGAAACAATGGCTCCAGGGTAGAAATTACCTTGGTACTTTTAAAATATACAATTTTATTGTTATTAGTAAGGTTTTATACAGAGGGGTTACCATTCCATAAACCAGGTAATGAATTGATTTCTTTCCCTTCCTTTGCTTTCTCCCAGTTTCCTCTTCCATCCTTGCCCACAAGTTACATAGTTCATTTTCCACACAGTATATACTAAATACCATGACTACGTTTGTTCACACTTCCTCCCTCCCTTTCTGTGCCCCTTTTGCCCCCCAAAAGAAAAAAAACTAAAATTGAAAACAACAATAACAGAAAAATACATGTTTCCATTTCCTGGAATTCCTTTCAATAAGTAGTATTTTAAATGATCAGGAGATGCCTTAGGGTTCCTCCCTTAAAAGTATCCTCCTTTATGGGCTGGGAAGGTGGCTCAGTGGTAGCGTGCTTGCCTTGCATGCATGAGGCCCTGGGTTCAATTTCTCAGCACCACATAAGCAAAAAGAAAAAAGCCGGAAGTGGCGCTGTGGCTCAAGTAGTGGAGCGCTAGCCTTGAGCTGAAAAGCTGAGGGACAGCGCTCAGGCCCAGAGTTCAGGCCCCACGACCAGACCCCCCCCCCCCAAAAAAAAAAACTATCCTCCTTTAGTCTGGTTTTTGTGTGAATGCCTAGAGTCCTGTATAAGTTATCATGTACAGATACATTTTAGGTCTAGTTTCCACATGAGAGAAAGCATGTACCATTTGTCTCTCTGAGCTGTTCCAGTCCATCCATTTCCCTATAAATGACATAATGTTAGTCTTTCTAATGGATGGATAAAAGTCTATTGTGTATATGTGTCATATTTTTTATCCTATCTATCTACTTTTAATGAGAAGTAATATATATTGTAATTACCACCAAATTTTGTAGATACTTAGAACTCCAAGTTTGGGATAACTGATCACTGGAATCATTGTGAATTAGACTGAATCACAGCATGGCTACATTTCACAATAAGATACGGTTTTGGAAGTGCCAACCCTGTGCTTGAATTGTAGAACTTCCTGTAGTCCATTTGCAGCTTTCCTAGTCTTCACTGCCGGGGTTATTCTTGATTCCATTCTGATTAGTCAGCAGGATATTAGGTACAATTAAAAGATACTGTATCGGGCACTTAAAATTCTTTTCCTTCTTTAATGAGATATAGAATTCCAGATCTTGCTACAGTGTATTCTTGTGGCCCTGAGCAGTCCTTGTGACCCTGGATATGGTGCTATGGGTAGACAAGAGAATAATGCTACATTAACTTTGTGTCTCTTTTGTCTAGTCTAACAGGCAGCCAGCTAAGTTGAACCTTCTCACCTGCCAGGTGAAACCGAATGCTGAGGACAAGAAGTCTTTTGACCTCATATCACGTGAGTCCTTCCTGCCTGCCTGCCTCCTACCCTCCCCCTCCCTTCCTTCCTCCCTTCCTCCCTTCCTTCCTTCCTTCCTTCCTTCCTTCCTTCCTTCCTTCCTTCCTTTCCTTCCCTCCCTCCCTCCCTCCCTCCCTCCCTCCCTCCTTCCTTCCTTCCTTCCTTCATCCCTCCCTCCCTCCCTCTCTCCCTCCCTCCCTCCCTCCCTCCCTTCCTTCCTTCCTTCCTTCCTTCCTTCCTTCCTTCCTTCCTTCCCTCCTTTCTTTCTTCCTTCCTTCCTTCCTTCCCTCCTTTCTTTCTTCCTTCCTTCCTTCCTTTTTCTGGGGTTGGTGTATGTGTGTTGGGTGCCAGTTTGTGCCTCGGCACTGTCCCTGAGGTTTTGGCTGAAAGCTAGCTCTTTACCACTGGAACCATCCACTTTCAGGGGCTCATTGGTGATAAGAGTCTCACAGACTTTCCTTCCCGGGTCTGGCTTTGAACCATAATCCTCAGAGCTCAGCCTCCCAAGTGGCTAGGATTATAGGCATGAGCTACTGGCACTTGGCCATGTGAGTTCTTTTTAAAAGTACTCTGAGTTGGTTAGTGTGGGTTCTAAGACCACATTTCTCTTCCCTGCAGATTAAAGCAGCAGTAGCTCCCAAGCAGACCCCCTCGTTGTCCTCCATACAACTTCTGGTTATTTCTGCATGTACAGCTCTAGGAAGACCCCTGAAGTTTCTTTTTCTTGTTTGTTTGCTTTTTGTTTTTAGACTAGATCCTACTGTGTTGCCCAGTATAGTCTCAAATTCATGAGGTCAAAGTGGTCTTCCTATCTCAGCTTCATGAGTAACCGAGCCTCTGGGTGAGCACCCCCTCACCCAGCTTCCTTGGGTCTCAAGTGTGCTGAGCCCACGTGTAGCCAGGGAGACCTGACAGTGTCAGATCTGGCATTATTGTTAGCAGTACTTGAGGTTTTTTAGCGCAAGGCCTTGTGCTTGCTAGGCAGGTGCTCTGGTGTGCGGTGTTTTGACATACATGTCATCTCTGTCTTGGTAAGGTGAGGGTCTTAGAAAGAGTCACATAGGAAGTGCTAAGTAATTGTGACTTCTCCTGTCTATGTTGAAGTCATCTTGCAAATCTTGAATTTTAAGAAGGAATTTCACTGGGGTTGGAGGCATGGCTCAGTTGGTAGAATGCTAGCCAGGGAGTGAAAGCATCAGGTACCAAGCTCCAATCCCACTCTTCTAACAGAAAAAGAAAAAGAAAAGAAAGAAAGAACTTCCTTGTAGACACAGACCTTCCCTGCTTCCTCCCTCCTGTACTTGGTGACAAAGGTTGAGCCTTTCTTCCTTGGAACCTGGTTCAACCAGAGAGCAGCCTAGCATGGGGGATAGGGGCAGAGCTAACCTGCATGTAGATTCTCAGGGTCAGAGAAATGGAGGCCCATTGATTGCTGGTAAGGAGACTCTGACATGCTCAATGACGTGCACCACTGAGTCTCTTCCCCTCTTATCTTGTGGATCTGAAGAGGTGCTTAAGATGTGCTCAGCAGTTGTGGTATTTTATTATATTCCTGTTGTACTTAAGAAAAAATTACTGACAGCGAATTGTTTTCCTGCTGAAACACAGTGATATAAAAACAAAATGATATTAAATTGCTACTTTTACTGCATGTGTTTTTTGTTTTTCAGGAACTTAAAAATCTGCATTATCCTGAAGGTTCACTTTGTTTTCTCTTTGGTATTTCAGATAATAGGACATATCACTTTCAGGCAGAAGATGAGCAAGATTATGTAGCGTAAGTAGTTTTGAAATAATAGCACAATGACAATTGAAAACACTGTGTTTAGAACTGCTCTGAGTGCCATTCGGTCTCCTTTTCTACTCTGGACCTTACCACTCCACTTATGCTGGTGTCTCCTGCAAGCTGGGCTTCAGCTTGGGCACCCCCAGGCTCCAGCTTCCTCTCACTCCCCATGGCCCCTACACACTATCCTGCACTCCTCTAGTGTACATCCTCAGCCCTCTTGAGACTGATGCTTTATGCATCTTTTAGTCATACCACCTGTACTGAGAAGGGGCCTGCTTGTTCAGTGCTTCTTGCCTGATGCATAAGCCTGTCTACCAGATGCCCGACTATTCCCCTGAGAGGAGCAGAGGAGCCTGGCCAGGTGCTGCACAGGTAAAGGGAGCGTCACACAGTGGGAAGGAGCTTGAGGTCACCAAGTACTTGGTCTCCATCCTGCGCCATCTTTATTCCTCTTCTTTCCTGTAGTCCAATAGCCTGCCATGACTGCCAAATGCAGTGTATTACTATTAGCGTCTCAGCTGCTTACATGGGTGTAAGAGCAGCAACTTAAGCCTTTTGTTGTTGGTTTATTTTGTTGAGTTTCAGAACTGGGGTTTGAACTCAGCACCTTGCACTCATACTTTGCCTTTATTGCTCAAGGCTAGTAGTCTGTCATTTGAGCGACTGCCCCACTACTGCTCTTTGCTGGTCAATTGGCAATAAGAGTCTCTTGGACTTTGTTGCGCTGGCTGATTTTGTACTATAATTCTCAGATCTCAGCCTCCTGTGTAGCTAGGAATACAGGCATGTACCACCAGCACCCAGCCCACGTTTTTCTAACAAGTTCTTGGAGTAATTTGGGTCAAACTTCATGAACATTAATAATTATTCATTCACTAATTACATCCAGAGCACTGCAGGTGATGTTCACACCCATTTTGCCTCACAATCTATCTTCCTTTCTTCTCTCCTTCACGTACACGCACATATACACTTCTCTTGAATGTTACACCAAGGAGACAGAAGAAGAATAGGAAATGGATAGAAAGTATGAAGCACTGGGAAAATGGCAAAGAAGAAAATGGCTATGAAAAGAAAGAAGGAAGAGCAAGATCCATCTATTAGATCCTCCACCTGCATGAGCACCACATAGCCAGTAACGCTGCAGGCACTGAAGTTTAGACTGAGTGGAGCCCTACTCTGAAGGAGCAGCCAAGCTAGGAGCAAGGAGGCCATGTACTGGGACAGCCCACACTCAGGTCAAACGCTCTGCTGGGTTCTTGGATTTGTTGCTCAAAAGTGACCTTCTAGTGCATGGTAGGCCTGAGCTGGCTCCAGAAAGCTGTAAATACTCTGAGATCCTAGTATGGAGGAGCCACAGGACTATTCCATGTAACTAATGCAGAGTTGACAGACTGGGTGGTGACCAAGAACCAAATAGGAAAGGAAGATGGTGAATGACTGCCTTCCAGATTCTCAGAGAGGTGATACTTACTGAGATGAGACCATGTTAAGTATATATCTTCTGCCTTATTAGTCTTCTCCCACAGGAAGTAGCTTTTGCCCCTATGTCCACCTGTGGAAACAGGCACATTGTACCCATCTTCAGACAAGTTCCTGATTAGCTAAGTTTTAACCCAGACCATTCCATAACCATATTGAAATATTGCTTCCCATGTCTGATTCTACTCTTTCCTCTTTCCATTTCTGCAAAGCTCTGAGTTGAAGACAAGTGGGAGATGTATGAAGCAGAGAGCAGATGCACTTCATCTTTGTTCCCTTTTGTCTCAAACCAAGGCCTTCAATATCTTATTTATTTTTTGCGATTTATGGGTAATTCTGTACCAGTTTTGTTAAATACTGGTTTGCATGTGGGTTGTGATGTTCTCTGGGCTGGGGCTGCTGGGGCTGTAGGGGAAATTTTGCACATTTTCTACTTTGAATCTCTTTGGGTACCGGGAGGGAAGCCCCAGGTTTTTCTTTGGCCTCCAGATTTACATAGAGGACATCATTGAGTTCCCTAACCATGGAAAAATGTCCAGTGAAATTAAATGAGGAAATCCCTTCTCTCAGAATCAAAAGGCAGGTACAAAAAGAGCAGATGCATGTTTGAAGGTCAGTGATGTGGCTTCTAGGAGAAGCTCTGCCCACCCAGGGCTTCTGTCCTTCAGGAAGAGTGTTGTATCAGTCTGCAGCTGAGTGGATGGGAATTACAGGTCTCACTTGCCAAACTCTGAAAGTGAGAATAAAATGTAGGAAGTTCCTAACACAGCAGCAGTTTATTTTTTTTCTTTTTATTTTAATTGTTCTGGCATAGCAGCAGTTTATTCTTTTGCCTTGTAGAAACTCTAACCAACTTTCAAAGTATGGTAATAAAATTATGCACTATATTGTTTTTTATACTTTGTGGTATGCATGTTACTTTAAAAGAACTTGAATTTTTTAATATTATTATAATCACTTTGATTCTTGACCTTCTTGAAATGTAGCCATTTCATCTCACCCAATTTGAATTGCTTCCTCTGGAAAATTAATTGCTCTTTAAACGTATGTTTTCTGATTTTCACAACAAATTTCATTTTTTTAAAAATCATGAGCCCTGGGATAAAGAAGCAAGTATATAATGAAAGGAACTCTGAAAAGGAAGTAGCTTTTCCTCCCAGCCGGACTCAGTACAGCTGGGTTAGACCCAGAACCTTCCTGGATTCCTCAAGGAGGAAGGTATTTGTAAACCCTAACCTGGGGCCCTTGGAAGTGTCTGTTTCAAAACCTGTAAATAATTGGCGTATGGAAGATAACCAGTCTGTATGACTAATAACCAAAATAGTGCTTGAGGAAAGCATACAATTCTTAGTTTTTAGTTTGAAATAAAATAATAATTTTAAAGGTTGTATTATTTAAAACGTATTCACTAATAGACCCATGCCCAACCTGTTGTAAAAAAGTCAAGCTGGCAGATCTCATAGATCGCTGAAGGTGAGCGCCACCTAGAGTCAAAGGTGTGCCTTGCGCTTACATATTGTAAGCAGTCTGGTTTGGCTTTAAATTCTCATACAGCTTCTGTCACTTCTTCAAACACTCACTGTAGAAAGTGCTTTGCTTAATAGCCATCATAGTATCCGGCCTATCGCATACCAAAGAAACAGCACTCCGTTCTGAGTCTCACTGTTTTCACTTGAGAGCAAGTGTCCATTAAGAACATAAAAGCAATGGCTTGCCATGGTTTTCATTTTCTTTCCAAAAACTAAATTTGGATTTTTTTCCTAATTCATGAAAGTAATACAGATTCTTAGATTTGGAGAATTACAGAAAGGCACGAAATTAAGCTGTCCTCCATTAGTTTCTTCTTAAAGAGAATCAAAGACAAACCATACCGACACTTTGTTGAAACTTCTTCCAGCCTTTCTCTCCCAAACATAAATACCTAATGTACACATATCTTTAAACTTGAGATTATATCATGAAACATGTTTTCCCCTGTTTTAATTAAACATGAGCATTTCTCTGTCCTCAAAAATTATTTGAAACTTAAAAACTGTTCTATTTTATTATTTTATCAATGTTCTGCCACGTTGAAGTGGCTCACACCTATAATCCTAGGACTTAGGAGGCTAAGATCTGAGAATCATGGTTTGAAACCAGCCTAGGCAGGAAATTCTATGAGACTCTGATCTCCAGTTAATCACCAAAAATCCAGAAGTGGAGGTGTGGCTCAAGTGGTAGAGGGCTGGCCTGGAGCAAAAAAGCTCATGGATAGCCCTCAGGCCCTCAGTTCAAGCCTCAAGACTTGCGCACGTGCACATACAGTATAATAATGCCCTATTGGGGCTGGGAAGTTGGCTCAGTGGTAGAGCGCTTGCCTTGTATGCCTGAGGCCCTGGGTTCGATTCCTCAGCACCACATAAGCAAAAAGAAAAAAGCCAGAAGTGGCGCTGTGGCTCAAGTGGTAGGGCACTAGCCTTGAGCTGAAGAGCTGAGGGACAGTGCTCAGGCTCAGAGTTCAGGCCCCACAACCAGACCAAAAAATAATAATAATAATAATGCCCTATTGTTGAGTGTTTGGTTTTATGCATAGCTTTGTAGCAAAGGGGTATTATATTAGTATATGGTGGACTTACCTATAATCAAATAAACTGCATTCTTTACTTTGTATTCTAAATGTCAGTATGTTTCCAAGTTATTTTGCCTTTTTACAAGCATACATTTTTATGGCTGCTAATGAAGTAGCCCTTCATTTCCACTGTTAAATATTCCTGTAGACATGGACTTCCAGGGAAGAGATGCCTTTTGCTGCATTCCTATATCTATTTCTCACATTTCTATCTTATGGTTACATTGGGTTCATCCCTTGCTAGCCTTGTCCTCCCTAGCTTTCCCTTTATTCTGTCCACATGGGAAGACAAACACGTGGGTATTCATGTAATTCCTGTCTTACATTGGCTTTTTCTCATCTAGTCCAGTATCTAATGTTTTTCTTATGTGTTGCTTTGGATTTCTTTTTGCATGTATGTGCATTTGAGTGTAGTGAGGATTGAACCTAGTACCTTGTTGCTAGGCTCACATTCTTTATCTTGTCCCATCAAATTTAGTCTCTCCATTTTCCTCACTTTATTGCTCTTTTTTGCAGTGGGGATAGAAAAGAATGGCCAGTCCTTTCTGAAGGCCTTCTCTGATATTTTGATCACAGATGGATATCAGTATTGACAAACAGCAAAGAAGAGGCTCTAACCATGGCCTTTCGTGGTGAGCAGAGCACAGGGGAGAACAGCTTGGAAGACTTGACAAAAGCCATCATTGAAGATGTCCAGCGGCTCCCTGGGAATGACGTGTGCTGTGACTGTGGCTCATCAGGTATCCTTCCCCTACTTGAAATGGCTTCTGAGGTCCTCTTTTCCTGTAATTACTTAAAGCCTTACTTCCTATGGACGTGCACACAATGTGTATTCCCAACATCAATATTCCCTGAGCTGCTCTTACTTACACTGTTCTCTCTACCTGGAAAGCTCCTATGTATCCTTCAAAGTGATTACCTGTCTCAGTGCTCCCTTTCCTACCGTGTTCAGTTAAATAAAAATCATAGACATAAGGGGGAAAGCATAGGACTTGGTGTCCAAATTTTAAATCATAAGTCTGCTATTCAGCAGAATAGTCTCATACTGAGCTCTTCTCTATTGTAGTCTGCAGATACTAATACACCTCCATTGTAAGTACTTGATAAAATAATCAATAGGGGCTAGGGACTGGTTGGGATGTGACACAAACTCTTCTTCCTTCCTGCTTCCATAGAGGTGTCTCCTTCCCATGGATTTCTGTATTACCGATACATTACCAACTGCTGACACTTACGGTTTGTGCCAAGGAATGTGCTAGATGTTTTATTTATATGATTATGTTATATCATCATAGAAGCTTTGTGAGCAATATACTAATCTCCTCATTCATAAGATGAGAAGTTATTTGTTTAAGATCATGCAACTGGGGGGTGAACACAGCTACAAAATCTGATGTTCTTTTTTATTTTGGTTTTGTGTTTTGAACTTTTTATGATGCTTAGAGATTGAACCCCAGCTCCTTATTGACATTACGCAAGCACTCTACCACTGGGTTAATTCCCCAGCATAAAGCTGGCATTAGGATATGTTTATTGTTCTACTTACTGGGCTTTACCACACAGGATGTCATAGCACCTCAGAAAAAGAGTCTCAAGTTGACTGTCATGTAAACCTAAGTGCTTTAAGACAATGGCAGAGGAATAGTAAATACTGAGGTGCTAGCCAATCAAAAGAAATGACATTTTAGTGACATAAAAATAATTGTGCCCACAGTCCTGGAGGAATCTTTTGGTCATAAGGCGCTATAAAACATTGAATGTTCAGTATTTATGGCTGTCTTATTGCCAAGAGGAATGTAAGGAGAAGCCGTAGCCAGGAATGATGGGTAAGGGCTGGGAAGGTGGCTCAGTGGTAGAGCGCTTGCCTTGCATGCTTGAGGCCCTGGGTTCAATTCCTTAGCACCACATGAGCAAAAGGAAAAAAAGCCGGAAGTGGTGCTGTGGCTCAAGTGGTAGAGCGCTAGCCTTGAGCTGAAGAGCTGAGGGACAGTGCCCAGGCCCAGAGTTCAGGCCCCACGACCGGACCCAAAAAAAAAAAAAAAAAGAATGGTGAATGGTGGGTAAAGCTAGTTGCAGCTAGACTAATGACAGCTTCAGAATCTAGGCTGCAGTTGCAGGATTTAGGACCTTCACCTCGCTTGTTCAGGGATGGTAGTGGCATTAAGGGAACCTTCCCACAAATCTTGAAGACATTGCATAGGATCTCCTACGAAACAGGTTTCTCAAATAAGCTACAAGGATTAAGGCTTGATTGTGATTTTAAATAAATGTGGAAGAGAAACTTTTATGTTAATCCCTAGGCTAAACAACAAGCATCTATGTCTTCCATTTAAATTTTTCCCTCTTAATAATTCTTACCAAGTCTTACTACTATTTTAGTTTTCTTGATATTTGGCATACAAAGTTACCTATCTTGTTTGTTTTCATTAAATCTTTTCTACAGAACCCACATGGCTTTCAACCAACTTGGGTATTTTAACATGTATAGAATGTTCTGGAATCCATAGGGAAATGGGTGTTCACATTTCTCGAATTCAGTCTTTGGAACTAGACAAATTAGGAACTTCTGAACTCTTGGTAAGTCTTAGCTTGTACTTTGGAAGAGAACTTTCATTGTCCTGAATATAATTAAAATATTACTTTGTGGTCTTTGTTTGTGTTCAGTACAAAGAATGCTTATTCCTAAATTGTATGTATTTGCTTAGATGTTTAAAACTTAACTTGTGTGATGTGAAGACTTAACTGTTTTCTATTTCCTATTTGAAGAAATGGTGACTCACGCAACTTTTCTTTGGGGATGGACTTCTTCTAAGCTGCTTTTTTTCTTTAGGAAGAGGTTTCTTTTGTGATTCACTGTAATGGCAATTATAATCACATGTTTCCATTACCACCTACTGGCTTCAGTTATTAAAACTAATTATTGAAAAGTTTTTCCCAGTTTTGTTTTCTGCTTGTATGTTAATAAAGTACCCATGAATTGAAAATGGCCTATTCCATATTGTCACAAAAGTAGTTACTTTTGAAACCATAACTACTTCCAGTAGTGAAGAAATAAAGTGTATGTGGAGTTGTCTTGCTTAGTGTTATGCGGAAAAGGCATGACTAGTTAAACTTGTTTTCTTGAACCATTTCTCCCCACACACCCATCATGATTCACCCAAACTTGAAGTCCTCATAAGGTCCAAACTAAATTGGTCCTGATCAAAGGCCCACTTAGCATCCTCATCATTTACAGGACTATAAGAGTAAAATTTGTTAAGGGAAGTGGAACTCCTCCTTGAGCAGAATCCGAATGAAATGGAACTCAGATAAACTGGAAACCTAGCATATCACTAACCTCTTCCAAAGAAAAGGCTAGGGCAGTTAGCCACCCAGCTGCAGGCTTTGCCATCGGAGCATCCACTGAACAGTGATGTGGCTTGTGTTGTATGAGCCTTCTCACTTGGGAAGGAGGGAATTATGCTGGCACTTAGCTCTTCATTTCACTTTAGCATTTCAGAGGAAGACTCAGGCCTAATTCCTGAAACACATTTTCCCTTAGTATAGGACTAGTGCCATACCATCTCTTTGACCTGTGAAAAAGAGACCCAATTGACATCTAAACATAGGAAAATAAAGTGCTAAACATTTGCTGCAAAATAGACCCAAGATTTGGGCTGGGAAGGTGCCTCAGTGGTGGAGTGTTTGCCTTGCATGCACGAGGGTTTGATTCCTTAGCACCACATAAGCAGAAAAAGCTGGAAGTGGTACTCTAGCTCAAGTGGTAGAGTGCTAACCTTGAGCTGAAGAGCTGAGGGACAATGCCCAGGCCCAGAGTTCAGGCCCCACGGCCGACAAAAATAAATAAATAAAAATAGCCCCAAGATTCTTCACCCAAATACCCACTTGTATGAATATTCCTTAACATTTTGCATTACTCTTAGAACTGTATGTGATAAAGATCTTGAGCCCAGAAGCAAAATGCTTCTTGGCTCTTCTTCTCTTGCTACCCATAGCATCTTACCATGTGCCAAATAAGTAATCCTGCTTTCTCCCCTAGTCAATATTAAACGAAAGTATATGGCTGAGTAGCAAAGCTGTTGCTGTTCATGTCCATTGAGAATTTATATTAGACTCACATGGAGCCTGCTCTTTTTGCTCTCTGATTGTTTGTATGTCTATAAGTCCAGCTCCTTGTTGCTTCTGGCATTTATCACATATTTATAGACATTATTTCTTGTCATTGGCCTGATTCCACTAGACTCTGCCTGAGTCCCTATGGGAAGGGAACATGGTTTACCTTTCCTAAAAGTTCAATGCCTAGCACAGAATGAATACTCAGTAAATTTTGATTGAACAGATAGACAGATGAGGGAAAATATAATCCCCAAATTCTCAAAAGCAAAATAATAGGAAAGTTTTAACTGTAGTAACATGCTTACCATAGTGTGTTTTGTTTCTGTTACAGCTGGCCAAGAATGTAGGAAACAATAGTTTTAATGATATTATGGAAGCAAATTTACCCAGCCCTTCACCAAAACCCACTCCTTCGAGTGATATGTAAGTACTTCTAATATATTGAATACTTGACCCACTCCATAATTGTTTTTCTATCCTCCCTAGAATCTTAGTGGTTGTATTTCTCCTATCTTCAGGGAAAAGAAAAGTGTTTTGAATGTGTTTCTTGGACACAATTCTTTTTCTTTTTAATTTTCTCTCTTTTATTTTTATATGTTTTTATTGTAAAAATATTGTACAGAGGAGTTACAATTACATGAGTAAGGTAATGAGTGTATTTCCTATGAAGCATTGTTGCCTCCTCCTTTGTTTTTCCCCTACCATCCCTTCCTTCTCGACCTCCCCAACTACACTCCCCCACCCCTGCCAAAGTTGTAAAGTTTGTTTTCAACATAGTATCTTGTACATCTCATTGTTACAATGGGTCAACCTGTATCCCTATTTAAGCATTTTGTTTTTTCCCTTCCCCTCCCCAAATTAGAAAAGTGTATATACAAGATGCAGGTCACCAGAATCAAATACAAAGAAACAAAAAAAAAAATCACATAGTACATTATAAATATGTTCAAAACAATAGCAAGCAAGAGAAAAACATTCTTGGGACACAAATTCTTTCTTTTTTTTGGGGGGGGGGGGGGTCCAGTCATGGGTCCTGAATTCTGGGCCTGGGCGCTGTCCCTCAGCAATTCAGCTCAAGGCTAGTGCTCTACCACTTGAGCCACAGCGCCACTTCCGGCTTTTTTCTTTTTGCTTATGTGGTGCTGAGGAATCGAACCCAGGGCCTCAGGCATGCAAGGCAAACACTCTACCACTGAGCCACCTTCCCAGCCCCACAAATTCTTTTCATCAGCACCTTCCTTAGGTGGTTGCAGGCAAGTGCCTCCTCTGTGGAGCACAGATCTTCAAGAGGACATGGCAAGTTGTGACAAATAATACAATACAAAGACAGTGGTAGACTCTCAGTAAATTGGAGAAATTCCAAATGCTCAACAACCCACTCAACAAGGCTCTTGAGGAAACAGATATCCTGCCCAATATTTTGCCAGTAAGAATACAAAGACAAATTAGCCATACTTACCAAAACTATAAATGTATTACCGCTATTATCTTGCCCATGTAATTGTAAACTTTCTGTACAGTATTTTCACAATAAAAAAAAATGTATTAACTCTTTAAGTTGGTTATCTCACTTCTAGGGATTCATTCCTATTTTATGATAGAAAAAGATTAAGAAATAAAGCAAGTGACCATTGACAGGCATCTGAGTAAGTAGTTTATAGTATAGCCAAACAGTAGAATGCTATATAGATATGAGAAAGAACAAACTTTCCAATGTTTTCATTTGAGATGATTTCCAGGGTTATTATTTAAACAAAAAAAAAAAGACAAGGTGAAGAAAATAGATTGCTTTGGGGAAGAGAAGTATTAAGTATGGAGAAATATGCTTATTCCTTGATCCAGACTCAGAAACTTAATTTTGTCTAAATTTGATGATAAACCTTTCCTTGACAAGCCAGGGGCTAATGCTTACACCTGTAATCCTTGCTGCTCAGGAGGCTGAGATCTGAGGATTGCAGTTTGAAGCCAGCCCAGGCAGCAAAGTCCCCAAGAGAATTTTATCTCCAATTAACTAATCAAAAAATCTGGAAGTGGTGCTGTGGCTCAAAGTTGTAGAGAGCTTGTCTTTAGTAAAAGAGCTTAGAGACAGCACACAGGTCCTGAGTTCAAGCCCCATGACTGACCAAAAAAAAAGCCCCTTTCCTTGAACTCTCACTACCTAGACTTAGAAGGCAAATAGATTTAGATAGGGCTGGGATGTGGCTCAAGTGGTGAAGCATTCGCCTACCAAGTCCAAGGCCCTGTATTCAATATCAAATACTACCATATAGATTTGAGATAGTACAGAATGCTTAAGCATATATGGGTTAGTCAGTTTCACATTGCTGTGACAAAATATGTAAACAACTTAGAAGAGAACTTTTTGGTTTAACAGTTTCACTCTAGAGTTAGCCACCTCCACCACCATGAGTCAACATACCAGGTATCAGAGTGTAGTGAAGGAAAGCTGTGTACCTCATGGCAGCCAGGAAACAGCAGGAAAAGTCAGGGACAAGATGTATGCCATTCAAAGACATACCTCCCTTGTGACCCACTTCCTCCAATCAGATCCCACTTCCTGATAGTACATTCACCATGAACCCATCAGTGGCTTAGTCCATGATGGAATCAGTCACCCCTCAATAGCACTAATACCTGGAGACCAGGCCTTTGAGTCTATATATGGGAACATTTTACATCCAAACTGTATTCTGTCCCTGGCCACCAAAGTCTTGGCCATTCATGGCCCTTCAGTTTCACCCACATGACTTCAGAAAGCATTATCTTACCCTCTCAGGAGCTTCCTGTAGGAGCTCCAATCCTCCCATACATTGCCTGACCTCTCAGCCTTCCTTTGAAATCTGGGTGGAATCCTCCATGACCCTACATAAGCACTTGGATTCTGCATGCCTGCAAAACTAGCATCACATGACTGAACCCTAAGTCCACTAATTACCTAAAAAGTAACCAGTCCTGCTTGGACTAAAGCTGCAGTATTGATGGATAGCTAAGTGCAGGGATACACTTTTCCTACAGTGCCTGTGTGAGCAGGATACCCAGAACCAGTCCTCTATTCCAAAGCAACCTCTTACAAGTCCATTGTACCTTCAGATCCCAGAACCTTTGATGGGAGGGGCCTGATCAATCCCCGAGAGAACCCCAAGTTCTCTTTCCACTTATCCTGATGAAAAGTACTTGGTTTTTTTTTAATATCACTAATCTCTTCAAGAACCACACCTTTACCACATCTTTCAATACTTTTTCTTTCTGGCCAAATTACAAGTTTTTTAAGTCCTTATGATCTGCTTTTTACTACCAGTTCTAAATGTAAACCTGGCAATATTCGTGCCACCTGCTCACTGCTGTACTGCCTAGAAATTTCCTCTAGATAAACTAGTTCATAACCTTTAAATTCAGCTCACACAAAGTCTTAGGATATGGACGAAATGTAGACAATGTAATATGAGTGGCCTCTGGCCCAATTCCCAGCAGATTCCTCATTCCCATCTGAAACTTTGTGAGCACAGTCTTTACTCTCTGCATTCTTACTGTCATTCCGGTCATCTGAGATCCCACCAGAATTGCCCACTCAGCTCTGCTTATATAGCATTAGCTTTTTCTAGCCTACTTCTCCAGACTTTCTCAAATTTCTCCCTCAAGACAGTTCAAAAGGCTTCTGAACCATAGTCAGGAATGGTCATATTTCTCAGTAGATTTTCTGTGCTAATCACCTTTCCATTACTGTCACAGAGTGCTTAGGAAAACAAATTAGGGGTCACAGTTTCACAGATTTCAGCCCAAGTTTTTTTAAACCCTTATTTGGGCCTGCGCTGGGATAGAAAACCATCATTGTAGAAGGACATAGAAGAGCAAAGCACTTCTCCTTGTGGTAGGTGGGAGGTACAGAGAAAGACAGAAGGAGGCCATGGGCCAGATAAATCCTTCACAGATAAGCCCCCTCCCCCCATTGTGACCCACTTACTTCAACCAGGTCCACCTCTTGATAGTTCATTCCTCTATGAACCATCAGTGGATTAGTCCCTCAGTAAGGTTAACACCCTTGTAATCTCACCCCTCAACAATGCCACTAGCAGAGGAACAAGCCTGCGACACACAGGCCTGTAGAGACAATATACTTGGAGGTATCACTTTAATTTTTGAGCAGTATAAATGGATTAATCTCTCATCCAAGTACTACTAGGACCCAGCAAGTCTGTCACTCTATTCATAGCTTTTTTAGTTGAATTAAATGTTGAGGGGGTGCTAGGGAGTAAACCCGGAGCCACACACACACATGCTAAACACACATTCCAGTGCTGAGCTAAGCTCCCACCCTTGCAGTTCAAACTTGGTTTAAGTGGTATGGATAAGTCAGAGATTAATTCTAACTCAGGTGGTCAAGAAAGGCTTTGTGAAAGAAGAAATCTGAAGACAAAAGTAAATTCCTTGTCAAAGTATACAGCAGTTTGAGAACCGTGGCTTCCTTTTTGTATGTTTAGAATCAAGACTCACCAAGCATCTTCAGTTAGGCTATTAGAAGACATATTCAGTACCTGAAATTTCTTTCTCTTCTAACTGAATAATGGCTTCTGGAGAAGGCAAAGAGAATAAAAAGTGATCTTTGTAGTGCATCTGAAACACAGTTTAAGGGAATTCTGGTCTTCCCTCCTCCCCATTTCCCCCAATTGACAGATCTCATTTTACCCTGATATCCACAACTTACAGTTACCCCTGGCCCCATTGCAGGGGCCAGGCATATTCTAGTTGATTTAGAATTGGAATGATATAAGATCCAGTCTCAGACCCCATCTGTTCTTTGATTTTTTTTAAATTTTTTGTCTTTTGGATTCCTCTTCTCTCTTGATTACCTATTCACAAGCTTCCAGTCTACATGTATGACCTAAGTCAGGTAAATACTCTGGTTTACTTCTTTAAGATTTTTTTATGTAGGCAGTCTGTTACACACTGTGGTTTCAGATGTACAATAACTTGTACAATGATTTATTCCTAAGTATGCCGTAAGCAGAACAGTGTCTTTTTTCTATATTGTCCCTTGCCTTAATAAATATGTAATATAAATTTAAGCAAACTTCTATTTTTTATATTTGTAAAGTACGAACTAAAAAAATGAAAATTTTGTGAAGCTTGTATTTTGCATAACCAAAGTAAGAAATTAAGTTTTAAATCTATAATTTTTTTTTTTTTTTTTTTGTCGGTAGTGGGGCTTGAACTCTGGGCCTGGGCGCTGTCCCTCAGCTCTTCAGCTCAAGGCGAGTACTCTACCACTTGAGCTACAGAGCCACTTCCGGTTTTCTGGTGGTTTATTGGAGATAGGAGTCTCACGGTCTCTCCAGCCCTGGCTGGCTTTGAACCACGATCCTCAGATCTCAGCCTCCTGAGTAGCTAGGATTACAGGCGTGAGCCACCAGCGCCCGGCTAAATCTATAATATTTTATCTGGGAAAAAAAGGGAAGTCTGTGGAGGAGATAGCAGCCTAAATGTTTTGCCAGACCCTCCTTAGCTACCAAATTTGCAAAAATACTGAAATTATTATAAGGCATATTTAGTCTGACGTTAGGAAATCTAGTTTCCCAAAAGAGCCCACACATCACTCTTTGTTCCTAGCCGTAATTTTGTTTCTCTGGAAAGTAGGTATGGTTATTAATACTTCAAAGAAGATAAAACTCCATTCAGTCTTTTTAGTAGCTGGGCCGTTCAAGGGGTGGGTTTTCAGGTACAACAGTATCTAGAATGTCAGTACCATCTGGACCCCATTTCTCTCTCCCTGTCTTACTGTCATTTTCTCTGAGCTGACTTCCATTTTCATCTTTCCCAAAAGGTAACAGAGTAAGTACTGGACTACTTTGGTTCTGTTCTCACCCTTATGGCTGAGAGGTAGACTCAAATCTCCCCAAGACCTCTTGAGGGAAGCCCTGTACAAAAACATGCTGCTCGGAGCCTGGTGCCCACTGAAGCCTCCTGCTCCCCATCACAAGCTTCTGCAGGGAGAAACTTGTCTCATCCTTGGGGAACTACTGTCGGCTTGTTCTCATGGCAGCCTTCCTCAGCCTCAGGCCACTCACTGATGAATCAAGAGCCTTCCTCAGCCTCAGGCCACTCACTGATGAATCAAGAGTTCTATTACAAGACTAAAACCCTTTCCATGGGGCTCTGAAAACTTTTATTTGCACCTACATTTCTAAATATCTTGATATATTTCTGTGTTTCTGAGTTTGAAATCTTAAGAGCAAATTTCTCAGGCTGTTGATCAAGGTGGAAAAGAAATCTATGATCTATGTGCCCATTCTGTCACTGTGTATTACCTGCATGCACCAATAAATATTTCTTCAGTTTCTTTAGTTTGCCTTTATTGGAGTAACTTGGTCTAAAATCTAGCTTGTTTGAGAAGCATGTTCATTAAAAGAATTCCTGGACAAAAAAGTATATATATAGTAACTGTAACCCTCTGTATAGTATCTTTACAATAAAAAAAAAAAGTATATATATATATATATATATATATTTCTTGGCTCTTGGAAAATGATTCTCTGGTGGTTTTGTTTTGTTTTCTGTTTTAGGACCATACGGAAAGAGTATATCACTGCGAAGTATGTAGACCATAGGTTCTCAAGGAAGACCTGTTCCTCCCCAACAGCTAAGCTGAATGAGTTGCTGGAGGCCATTAAGTCCAGGGATTTACTTGCACTAGTTCAAGTCTATGCAGAAGGGGTAGAGCTAATGGAGCCACTGCTCGAGCCTGGACAGGTAAGACCTCACTGAAATCATAGAACAGAAAATAAAAATCAGGTTAAATGATCATTTTTGTTATCCTAACAGCATATAATGAGATTCTTATATACTATTTGGTTGCACACTTCTAAATCAAGAGAATTTGAGAGTAAAACGTGTCATTGAAATAATTATTTGAGGCACCTAATGTAAGTGAAGCTGCTAGAGAAAAACAGGCATGTGAATCTCCATGTTTATACTTGTCCTTCCCTTCCCAGGAGCTCGGGGAGACAGCCCTCCACCTCGCCGTCCGAACTGCCGACCACACATCTCTCCATCTGGTTGACTTCCTTGTACAAAACTGGTAAAGCCTTTGTTTTCTCCATTGAATTAAGTAAATATGACTCATAAGTTAGTACACACCAGACCTATTAGTGGCCTACATCATAACACAGTAAACATCTTTTTATAATTAGCCATATAAAATCTAAGGCTTTGCAGACCATTGTGGTATGAAAACAGCTATAAACAGTATGCAAATGAGTGAGCATAGCTGTAGGCCAATAAACCTGTTTACAAAAATAAAGAACCTTCCAAACTGTGTTCCATAGGTTATAGTTTGCTAGTGCCTGGCCATAGAAAATGTAAAGTACTATTTGTGTGCCTAAAAACTTGCTATATTGCTGGGCATTGGTGGCTCATGCCTGTATTCAGCTACTCAGGAGGCTGAGATCTGAGAATTGTGGTTTGACGTCAACCTGGGCAAGAAAGTTCCTAAGCCTCTTATCTCCAATTAACAACCCTCTTTCCCCCACCCCCTCTCCCACACACAAAAACAATCCAGAAGAAAGCCTATAACTCAAGTGATAGAGTGCTAGCATTGAGCAAAAAAGCTCAGAGATAACAACTAGGCTCTGAGTTCAAGGCCCAAGACTGGCACAAACAAAAAAACTCCTGATTTGAAGAGTATGAAAGAAGAGTATGAATAATACAGGTCAGTTATATTTTTGAGTGTTTGTTGTTTAATAGAATAGAGCAAGCTAGTTCAAATGAGACATAATGTTAAGCCTGTAATGCTGAACACAGGAGATGTGTCTCTGCTGGATTCTTTCATTTTCTTTTTATTTTTTAATGTAAAGTAGTTGTACAAAGGGGTTTCAGCTGAACTTGTCAGTTTGTAAGTACAGTGCATCTTGATCAATGCCACCTGTTCAGTAAGAGGAAGATTAAGTAGGAGCTGAGCTTATCCAGAGGCAAATGATCAATAGGGAGGGGAGCTGATCCCATGTACACAGTCTAATTGTATAAAGGTCCAGGTCTCTTCCTTAGAGGGAAGAATGGCATAATGTTTAAGAGCATTGGCTCCAGAGATAGTCTGTGTTCAAATCCCCATTCTATTGTCCCTATCTTGAATACCATGAAAGCAAGCACTTCAACCTCTCTGTGCCTTCAGTTTTTCATCTGCAAAATGGAAGCTAGTCTGAGTACTTTCTCAGGTAGGTGTGAAGATTCACTGAACATGTAAAAGTTACTCTGTAGTTTACTAGGCACTCAATTCTGAATGTTACTATCACTGTATTTCTTATAAATGTAGGTATAATGTAGAAACACCATCATTTCCCTGTTTTAAGTTTGAGTCAGTTATTAGCATAGAAAGAAGCACCCAAATGCATTAGCACACACCTGTTGTCTCAGCGACTTGGGAGGCTAACGCAGGAAAACCAACGATTTGAAGCCAGCCTACATTATATAAGACCAAGTTTGACCCTCGTCACAAAAATAAGTAAATATAGAATATGATATTCACACTTACATTCCTTCATTCATCCACACTTTTACTTTCTGAGGTATCAGTTACCTGAATTCAACCATGGTCCAAACGTATTAAATGGAAAAATCCAGAAATAAGTAGTTTATACCTTTTAAATAGCAACTGACGCCTAGAGTTGTAGTCATTTCTTTGTGACACTGTGATTTTTCAGTGGGAACCTGGATAAGCAGACATCCTTGGGGAACACAGCTCTGCACTACTGCAGCCTGTATAACAAGCCTGAGTGTCTGAAGCTGCTTCTCAGGAGCAAGCCCACTGTGGACATTGGTGAGAGTGTGGCCACGTGTCACCAGCGACCATCTCTTAACATCTGTTCAGTAAAACAGATTTGCATGTTATCTGCTGTTCTTCCCTAGACACTTAATGCAAGCGTAGTTTTCCTTTGTTTCAGTTAACCAAGCTGGAGAAACTGCCTTGGAGATAGCAAAGAGATTAAAAGCTACCCAGTGTGAAGATCTGGTAAGAGAAAGTAGATTTAGACACTTATTCGTCATTAACTCTCTTCAAAATGTCCTTCTGAGAGATTGAAATAAGCCAGGAAGTAATGGTTCATACCTTTAATCCCAACTACCAACTATGGAGAGATTTAGGTGAGAGGATAATGGTCTAAGACTAGGCCCCAGAAAAAAATACAAGAACCTATCTGAAAAATAAAGCAAAGAAAGGGCCAGAGGCATAACCCAAATGGTGGAACACCCTAGCAAAAGCACAAGGCCCTAAATTCAAATCCCAGTACCATAAAAAAAAAAAACAACAAAACGTTTAACTAGGAATACAGGTAGACCTATTGCAACAATGAGATGTACAAGTTGTTATGTCAAAAAACGAACTTCACAACTTTGTTGGGGGTAGCGGGAGGATGGGAAGGGGAAACAAAGAAGAAGCAACAATGCTTGATAAGAAATGTACTCATTATCTCGCCCATGTAATTGTAACCCCTCTGTATAGTATTTTCACAATAAAATTAAATAAATAAACAAAAAAGTGAAATAATTACCACTGTCACCCACTTGTGTTTTGAGTGCAGTTGTGGCATGGGAAGTGAAGTGCATTTGAGAGGTGCTGTCACTGGACAGGACTGCAGTTTGCAGTTATACTTTGTATTTTCCAGGTCAATAGGCTTTTTCTATAGTTTACACCTTTGGGCAGATAAAGCTCAGAGGATAGTGGCTTTGAGAGTGTTAAACACTGTTCTCCTAATTCTGTACACTCACTTCACTTGACCCCACCAATTCTTGCTGAATAATCAAAACCTGGAGTTAGAATGATTCTAATGAAAAATGTAACATGAGTGTCATGGGAAAGGAAGAGATAGGTTTTTTAAAAAGTCAAATTCTCTCTCAATTTTTGCTGAGTACCAGATTCTAAGCCTGGTAGTTATACTTTTAAATCTGTTTTTGTTACATTTTGCTTTGTTTTGCTTTGTTTTTATTGTGCCAGTACCAGGGCTTCAACTCAGGCATGCTCTTGCTCCACTTTCTTGTTCACAGTTGTACTCTGCCTTTTCACTACTTAATTGGAGATGGAGTCTTGAAGAATTTTCTGCACAGCTGGCTTCTCAGCTGGCTGATCAGCCAAGTCTCAGCCTCCTGAATAGCTAGATTTACAGGTGTGTGGGCCACGAGTGCCTACCTTGTTTTATTTTGAGATAGGGTCTTCAAGCATTCCAGTCTCAACCTCCCATATATCTAGCACATGCCACTGTACCCAAGTATGAGTTGAAAGGAGGCTTATAAACTTTTCTGTCCAGGCTAAGACCTACCCATGACACTCCCATTCTCGACCTCTGAAGCAGCTAAGATTATATCGGCATGAGCCACTGGCATCTGGCTTTACTTTTTATTCACCAGCAGGACTCTGGTGGCTCATACCTGTCATCCTAGTTACTCAGGTTGCTGAGATCTGAGGATCATGATTCAGAGCCAGCCTGGGCAGGAAAGGTCATGAGACTCTCATCTCCAATTAACCGCCAGAAAACCAAATGTGGAGCTGTGGCTTAAAGTGGTAGAGCGCTAATCAAGTAGAAGAATATCAAGAATAGTACTCAGACCCTGAGTTCACACCCCAGGACTGGCACAATAAGTTAATTAATTAATTAGAATATTCTTGAGATTGCTGTCCCTGCACTCATTTTATTAATAAGAAATGGGATGGGCTTTTAAAGATATGCCTCTTAAATTTGACAGACTCTTGAATGTTCTTCAGAATATGTGATTCTGAGATACATTTTAATATTAAGAAAGCTTTTAAGTGAATGCTGGTAGCTTACGCCTATAATCCTAGCTACTCAGGAGCCTGAGAGGTGAGGATTGCAGTTTGAAGCCAGCCCAGGCAGGAAAGTTTGAGAGACTCCTATCTCCAATTAAATCATGGAAAATTGGGAAGTGGTGCTGTGGTTCAAGAGGTAGAGTGCTAGCTTTGAGCTAAAAGAGCTCTGGAACAGTGCCCAGGCTTAGAGTTCAAGCCTCAGGACTGGCAGAAAAAAGAAAAATAAAGTTGTTAATTTCAGATAAAAATCAAGTTGTCAAAGTCAGGAAGCTTCTTCCTGCTGTTCTTTGCAGTTCCCAGGTCTGTCAAACGGCCATCTATCTTATTACTTACTAGCTATTTATTACTATTATTATTACTATTTATTACTACTTATTACAATTAGTTAGAGTTGTGTCCAGGTGCACCTATTGATGCGTTTGAAACTAGGCGTCAGGTGGGATTTGCTCAGTGTTTGTGTAAGACTGGAGTGTTTGGACATTTCAACCTAAATGGTGCGTACCTGCTGTTCCTTCCAGCTTTCCCAGGCTAAATCTGGCAAGTTCAACCCACACGTCCACGTAGAGTATGAGTGGAATCTTCGACAGGAGGAGATGGATGAAAGTGATGATGATCTGGATGACAAAGTGAGTGGGAAGGGTGGGTACCCCAGAGAGAGTTCCTGTCCTCCCTGCACAGGCCGGAGCCATTTTCCTGTGAGATGGTTTGGGTCTTCTGACCTGATGTACCAGGACCATTGTCATCGCTTGGTTTCTGACAATTACATTATTATTGAGGGTTGTTCAGAGAAACTGAAGCAATGGGACAGAAGGAGAAAGAAAAAAACTTGTCTGAGCTTGGCTCTCATGGTTGAGGGGGCTGCTTGACCAGCAGGATTGTGACAGAGCTGAGGCTGTAAGCAGAACCCCTCATTTTCAACATAGTGTTTAGTGAGTACCACTGCTGTATTAGTTCACCATTTGTCCCTCCGTTTCTGTGCCTTGGTCTTTTGGTAAAGCTTTTCCCTGTATGAAGCCCACTCACAGGCACCGTAAGCCAAAAACAGTGGACCCAAGTAGTAATCATATCTTCATATCTTAAAAAAATACCCTACAAGTGACACCTAGATTGATACTTGACCGAATGTAGGACTTGGGAGCCTAGCCAAGCTGACACTAAAAGGATCCATCAAAACAGCTAATTAATAAGTACTAACAGTTGTCATTTATTGAGAGGACTTAAATATTGACTAGGCTGCCTAGCACCTATGTTATCTCAGACCAGCTTTACTGAAAACCAGTGGGGGATAACTGCTATTGTCCCCAGTTCACAGAAGAGAAAAAGAATTTAGCAACTTGTATGGAGTCAGTGAGCTAGTAAAAACAGACTCCAGGCGTAAATGCAGATAGTTTTAATCTACTTGAAGTCACTCATCCTTATCACCATGTGTAGCTGGATGGTCCCTCAGTGCCACGCAGGATATGAAGAATGGTTGGACAAAGAGGCCCTAAAGTCATTGGGTACTTGAAGTGGGTGTAAATGGTCATCTGGTATGACAACTAATATACTGAGGATTTGAAATATTCCTGAGAAGTGTTCAGAAGACTGAGCTCCTCAGCCTTGGCAGACTACACAGATGCTATCGAGGGAGTAGCACTGAAAACGAGTTTTTGAGGTAGTTGGATGTTGGCCTGGGAGAACAGTATGGGCCATGGCTAGGGGTCTGGCAGAGCCTGGAAGTCTGAGTGGTGTATGTGTAAAGACTATGTGTAAAGACTGTCCCCCGGAGGGAGGGCCTGCCCTGTGGGGTCAGCCAGGTCAGGTTAAGAAAGGCTACACTAGGTCGGGCTTTTATCCATGCTGTCAGGTTTATCCAAGCTGAGGTTTAGTATCAGAAGAGCAAGGTTTCCTGCCAGCTGCGGCTGCTTTGTGGACAATAGCCAAGACCATTCAGGAGGTTGGTGATGCAGTGAGATCAGTGATCCCCTCACTAGGAAGGAGCTTGAGGACCCTTTGGCATCTGTGCAGGCCAGGGGGCTCCAAGTAATGTCCAGTTACTAACATCACAGGTGAGTGATGCTTACGTCATTACAGTGCCTACCTGAGCAGTTGGAAATCGTTTGTAGTCTTAGAGCTTGGGTGGGATTTTCACATCTGAATGGTCAGCATTGTAGGCAGGCACCTCAAAGCCATGCTGTGTATGAGTTTGCTTCCCAGAGAGACAAAGTGAGAAGAGAGGTGAAGATTGAGAAGATCTAAACAGGAGTAAGAAGTTAGTAGAACATATTACAGATGGATGAGAACACGGGAGGGCGCGGAGGGTGTCTTGCACAGGGAAGGTGTTCATCCCTTCACTGAACGTTATACCACACTGCAGCCTTACTGCCTCAAACGCTCTACTGGTCCCTCACAGTGTTCCCTAGTGGTTGCCAGTGATGAGGATACAGGAAGTAGAAGGGTAAAGGCTTCCTTGTCATGTATGACTGAGAGGCTCTGGCACAGGTCCTAACCTCCTCCAGCAAAGCTTCTGGAGCCCAGGTGACACCTGAACCCATCCTGCAGGCTCCTTTGCACAATCCTTTGTTATATCTCACCCACTGTTGTCTCATCTACCAGCCAAGCCCAATCAAGAAGGAGCGCTCGCCCAGGCCCCAGAGCTTCTGCCACTCCTCCAGCATCTCGCCCCAGGACAAGCTGTCACTGCCAGGGTTCGGCACACCTCGGGACAAGCAGCGGCTTTCCTATGGAGCCTTCACCAACCAGATCTTTGTGTCCACGAGCACAGACTCACCCACATCACCTACTTCAGAGGCCCCCCCTCTGCCACCTAGGAACGCCGGGAAAGGTATGGCCAGAGATGGGCTTTGTGGCTCCCTCTTCAGTGCTGCTGCTTTGCCCAGCTGTCCAGCTTGAAAGGAAGAGTCTGAGGTCCATTTGACTAGCAAAGTGTGGACCACACTGTCAGGAACAGCTTGACGTGGGGACCTTGCCATCTGCCTGGCACCAGCAGCAGGACAAGCAGTGTAAGAGGCACAGTTTGTGCACTGCCTCTTGATAACATCACACAAGTGCTGTGAAATGTGTGCTTTTGTGCCTGTTTTAGAGATGAGGAAACTAAAGCTTAGAGAGGTACAATGGCTTATCAAAGGCCATACAGCCATAAACAATGGAGCGGTATAATTTAGTCTGAGATTTCCCATGGCTTCAAAACCTGCGGTCTTTTTAGCATGGCTGGAATGTGAGTTCTCGGAAAGGTTACTTTCCTCCACATTAGGAGGTCTCTGTTGAAGATGCTGGTGCTCATAATGGTGGTTAATGGTCACAAGCATTCATTTCACAAGAGGCCCTAAGCCAAGCCCTTCCCATTCTTTGGACTCCAGGTGAGGTGGATATTCTAGCTGTAGCATCTATAGGCACTGCCTAAGGTTCTCAGTTGCTTGGAATTCTTCACCAGGTCTTCTGTGAACCAGTTGTATAGTTCTACATTCTCACATGTTTGTCTTCCCTGAGACAGGACCTGATCTGGAGAGGGCTCTCTTCCCACAGGAGTGTCATGATGGACATTATCAAAAACCTCCGCAGGGCTAACTCCTTGAGCCAATAGCTAGCACCCTGTTCTCAGCCACAAAGTGCTATATTACATCTCCTATCCACAGAGTATGCCCTGCTTACAAAGTCAGTGTGCTCCCACTTGTTTAGGGAAGTTGAGGACAGAAATGTTAATATCAAGGGTCACCCAAGCAAAGGGGGGAGTAGAGAGGTGCCTCGAGCTACCCCTTTGATTTTAGTCTCTGACTGAATCCAAATGCAGGATTCTCACTATGTGCTCAGCCTGTGCTAGCTCAGGTTTGAAGGGCCTCGTGGTGCACAATGCCATGCCTATTTGAATCACACTGGTGCTATTTTGCGGGAAATGTGAGCTTTATTCAAAAGTGTTTTTTCAGAGCTTATTCTCCATTGAAATAGTGTTATAAATGGAAGCTGTGTTCTTAGACCCCAAATGGCCTCATAGATCATAAAATAAGGCAGACGAGTTAAAATAAGGCTTTGCATGAACAGATCTCATCAAAGATAACCAGTCGCCCTAATGCTAATAGCACAGGGGCTAAACCTGCCGCTATTTCTTACCATACTATATACACTCTATTAGAACATTCTCTCCTAAATCACTAGTGTATCAAACTACAGATTTATAGTGTTTGAACACTGGGCTGCTGCTCCCTTCTGGGAAAGGATGCTCTCCAGAGAATAAGAACAAGGTGCCTCACTACATCCTCCTGAGCACAGTGAGGATTCTCCAGGCCTAATGACAGTGGAGCAATGTCTCTGAAAGATTTCATATTCTCTAGTGATGCTCATCAATACAGTTCAGTAATCTCCCTCAACAGGCAAGGCCTGCCCTGGGTCACAGAACCTCCAGGTCATTGAGAGCCTGGAGGAACTGACACCAGAGTCCAGGGAACCAGTAGATGCTTACCTCCTCTCACCCCCTCCCGTAATTTTATCCCAATGTGGGCACTGAAACACATAAACCGTTCCCTCTGGCTCAGTGCCATGTGTAGCTCTCCTGTCTTGAATAAATTCTAACCAGCTCTTTACCAAAGACCCAGTAGACAAAGAGTAAATTTAGTGAGTCAGCTGCTGGAACAGGAGCTTAGAGACTTGGCTATAGCAACTATGGTCAACTAAGGATAGGCAGCTTATCCTTCCTCCTGAAAAATAAAGCCCATAATTGAAAAAAAAGAAATCCCTCGCTGCCAACAGAGTAGCCCTCCTGCCTGTTCAGAGCAGGGCATCAGATTGAGAGCTCTGGCCTGTCTGCTAGTGAGACAGGAGGAGGGAAGCCTCTCATGATGGTTATATGGGACTGAGTGCCTTTACATGTGAAAAACTGGCAGTGTGTAGAACTGAGTTGTTAGTAGGCATTGTTAAATGTCAGCTGACACTCTGTGTACAGACACAGTTCTTGTTTTGTGGCTTCCTATTGGAGCCACTGACAGAGAACAAGACTGTCTTGAATCATGGTTTGGATTGCTCATTCTCCAAGCGAGGAAAGCCCTGGTCTGTATTTACAGCCAAAGTCATCTCCACAGCCTCAAATTTATGAGTCTAAAGGGTGGTGGCTTCTAGGATGCATATAGATACTTGTGGCAAAGTTCCCACAAACAAGAAGAGTACAAAAAGAACTGTAGAAAGAATTCTTCTGAGCCTAGCTTAGGAATATTTTCAAGAAACTCCAGCTGGCTCATCAAAATTCAGGAAGTTTGAGCTAAATTACCATTAAGCAAAGCCCCCTTGTGTTTGAGCAGTCCTCGTCAGTCTCAGAAGAACTCAGCCAACTCAGAATCCCAAACTCACCATTCTTTAGGCTCATACAGAAACATTATGCTGCCTAACCCCTCTTCGAAGGGGGAGGGGGCCCAGTTAGAGTAAATGGAAACTACAAAATGAAGTGTGTAGATATTTGTGATCAACAACTTTCCTCTTCCTGATTACTTTAAATTTAAAGACTAGAAATAACTTTGTTTTTAATCTTTAGGTTAAAGTACTGTCATAGAGAGCCAGATATGGTAGCCTACAGCTATAACCCCAGAAGCATAGGTAGGAGGATCATGGTCTGAGGATGGACCCAAGCAAAAATTTAAGATTCTATTCAAAAAATAACTGAAGCAAAAGGCTGGAGGCTTAAGTGGTACAGCACTTGCCTAGCAAGCAGGTTCAAATTCCAATACTATCAAAAAAAAAAAAAGAGGTTGATGCAAGTTTATCAGTCTATACCATCATAAGAAAACAGCCCTGGAAAGGTTAAGGAACTTACTTCAGGTTGCACGGCACTGAAATGAATGGGAAATTTACGTGGACTTGATAGCTGTCAGACCAGATCTTCTTTTTCCTTCTTTCCCTTGTTGGGGAAGATGGTCCGTCTTTCTCATGCCTGGCTCATGAGATTATCATCAGAAGCCAGTGAGACAGTACAGGAAGAAAGCATTTTGGAACAGGCAAAGCTTTTCATTGCTCTGAGATACTTGAGTTGAGATTATTAGGCTATGACTGGAAGTATTTCTGGAGTGTGGGAGACTGGAGGGCAACACAGTGCTGTGCTACCCATTCCATAGCACAGGAGTTTGAAAATAGGTTGCTTCTGTTTGGGTGATTTGTTTGATTTGACTATGCCTTTAACTAATTTTAAGCTTGAGAATTGTGATGTTTTTTTTTTTTTAATTGTTAAACATAGTTCCATGCTTTTTTCTTTCTTTTTTTTTTTTTTTTTTTTGCCAGTTCTCAGGCTAGGCACTGTCCCTGAGCACTTTTGCCCAAGGCCAGTACTCTACCATTTGAGCCACAGCTTTACTTCCAGCTTTTTTCTTTTCTTTTTCTTTCTTTCTTTTTTTTTGTGTGTGTGCTTCATTGGAGATGAGTCTCACCAGCATTCCTGCTTGGGCTGACTTCCAACAAATTTCAGATCTCAGCCTTCTGAGTAGCTAAGATTACTTAGGGCCTTGTATATAATAGTGCAGATAGGGAGTGGCTACCTCACGTGAGATTACAGGACAAGTCTATGAGACATTTCACTCAGCACCTGGTCCCTACTATTCCACAGGGAATGTTATCTATCCCCTGCTGGGTACAGTACCTCTGTAGCTCTTGTCCTTTTAAGAAGGGAGTCCTTTCAGTTATAGAGGCTACGCTGAAGTCATACACCTACTGAATTAATAAGTGCTTCAGATAGTGAAACCAGGCACTGGTATAGGCTCAATTAAAGGTTTTGTTCGATCTGTGATGAATCTGATCTCAAGAAGCTTGACTTAAAAGAACAGTTTAAGCTTTTAGGAATAGGAATGCCAATCAGTTTATTCCCACTGTTCATGAGATGAAGTTCTAGAATCAGGAATTACATGCAGTGAATACTATACATTTCACACTGTCCAGTCTATATAGACTTCCTACCTCAAATAGCTTCTAGCTTTGGTCTGTTAAAGCAGCAGTCTAGTCAAAAGCAGCATGGTATCTACTGTCCTGAAACCATAGTAGATGCTGATGTTGATGAAGCCTTAGTGCCATGGAGAATACACAGACAACAAGCTACCATCAGTGTAGACAGCTATAGAAAGCTAGACTGTAGCTACTGGGGCAGCCATGAATCTTAGAAAACCTTTCAAACCTCATCTTCTCTTCTAAGAAGACACCTTTCTCCAGCCCCATGAGAGACTGGGATTTCTTCACCACAAGGGTAGGTATATGTCTCATGCTAACATTTCAGTGATCCTGCTGAATTTCAGGATCTGCATCTGAAAAATAAGGACTAGAGTCTACCATACTGGGCCACTGAACAGATCCTATGCAATGAAGTCTGCGATGTGTCAAACACCTAACAAGCATTCAGAAAACATGAGCTTCATCCTAGGGCAGGTTTTCTAATCAGAAAATATTTGAGGAAGAGTAATGGAAGAGCTGCTCTTCCCAGAGCTGGTCATCAGGAGAAACAGTGACATATACTATCAGACCAGTAGGAGGTACTACAGTGGAGGGAGCCAGGAGGAAGTGGACTGCTTTCTCCTCTGCAAAGGATTCATTTCATTCTGACCTGGTTAGAGACAGAAGCCCTTGAAAACCAGGGCCATTAGTGAGTTGTCTCAGAACTCATAAAGCAGAGAATTAGATTCTCATCAATATCAGAGCTTGTCCGCTATGTGAAAAACAGAATCAGGGAGAGCATGTCCCAGAAATACATGGCATGTTAAGGAAGGAATATGCGTAAAACTGAACCAGATGTCCTGCAGGGTGAGGGTTCACTTGCTGAAAAATCTGTGTGAAATGACTGCACCAGTTATGCCAAATGCAGCTGTGAAAGCTCTCACTTTTCACACTTTTCCCAGAGGTCTGTAACAGTAGAGGACAAAAGCAAATGGAAAGGGACAAGACTTCTCAGCTTACTGCAGCCACCTGCCATCAAGAAGGACAGATAGTACTAGATGATTCAGACAAGCTTAGGAAGCACTTTCCTATCAACAGTATGATTCATACATGGATAGCTTTAGTTTCCTAGGTGGTTTTTTTTTTAAGCCTGTACAAGACAGTTTAAGTACAGTAGTTTGTCCTTAGTTCACATTGGATTTCTGTTTTGTTGAAGTTGGGGAATGCTTTTGTTTTGGCCTGTATCTGTTACTGTTATTCCTTTTTAAAGCATTGCACGGGGAAGTGGTGCCCTGCCTCAAGCTGTAGAGCATTTGCCTTGAGCAAGAGAAGCTCAAAGACAGCGCCCAGGCCCAGAATTCGAGCCTCAGGACTGGCAAATAAATAAAGTATTGCACATGAAGTAGCCAGAGCATTGTACATGAGCTTTGCCCTCGATAGTGGCCACTGTCCAGTAACATTGCCTGACCACCAGGGTGAAAAAAGAGAAGCAAAGGAAATCCCGGTTGTACTTCTTGCATTCAGGGATTATGAGTCCTGAGCCACCAAGGTCCAGTAATTTTCCTCTTGATCATCAGTATCATAGAAAGATTGAAGGACCCAGAAATAACTAGTGCTCTTTTCCATGTAGGAATCAACCAGTAGAGTAGTATCATGCTTTGTCATACCGGGGCACAGTATGGCATTGCCATGTTGGCATTCTGGTCATACCTGCTACTGGCTTACTGAGGTACCACAGCACTGTGCCTCCTGTGCTTCTGTTTCCCAATCTGAATGTGGAGATGATGACAGCTCCTTCCTTTGACACAGTCTTATCCACATACAATATTGTATCTTCATCTACTTAAAGTGATTAACTTTAGCTTCCTTCCCATTCTTTTAAGCTCTGTGCTACGATAACCCGGAGATAAGTTAGGAGGAATATCTTTAGGAAAAAGGCTGTACAACTTGATGATTATAGCAAATTATATAATGAAGTTTCCTAAAGGAATGTGTTTTAAGTGGTCTCACCTTAAACAAATTAGAAATGTGTGAAGCAATGGGTGTTCTTCAGTTTAGTCATTCCAGAGAATATGTGTTTCAAACAACATATGTATGTACAATGTTTATTGAAAAAATCGAGAACAGATTTTTCAAAGATTATTAGGAAATGATGGTTGAAGTTTTGTTCATATTATCCAGAATTTTGTAAGTATAACTTCTATCATCGCTCCTCCTGGATGGCATGTTAGAATATGCAATGCTTCTACAGACAAATCTGTCCAAAATGGTCAAGATGATTTTTCCAGCCACAATCTATGAAGTTTCACAGTTGTACTTTTATTTGGTCTCCCAGATGGCAGCCTAGATTTTCTGTGTTATTGAAAACCAGATGTGCAGGTGTTAGAAAAGCATCGTGGCTGCCTGCACCATGAATTGTCCCCATAGATAAACATGGGGTATACCCAGAATGTGCCACCAACCAGTACTGGCAAAGGCAGTCTACATCCCCCTTCCCCCCCCCACTCCCCCCTTGCCGCCGCCATGGACCATACAAAATATCCAGGGCTATTTAATCTTTATGGAAGTTCAGAGATAGAATCAGTTGCTTCAGGACATAGGAGCTTGATTAGAGAAAGAGTCTGGATAAGATTGCACCTTTGCTGACCATTGAAAGATGAAGAGGTGAAGAAAGATGAAGGTGAAGAGCTTGGTGTCCCAGAGTGCTCAACACAGAGAACGCGAGATGCCATTCAGAGGAAGGGAAGCACGCTGGTGCCAAGGCCAAGAGTTCAGCCTTTAAGCCAGCAGGGTTTTGCCTGCTTGTCTCAGATTGGGTCTGGCCAAGTTCCTGTGCTTTCTGAGGCATATTCTGTTCGTTCAGTGGTGACTGGGTGGATGACTCCAGGGTGGAGTCACTCTCAAAATCATGTAAGCATACAACATAGTTTTGTTAGCATTTTGTCTGTGGCAGTTTTTGCTTCCAGATGGGATTTGGAACCTGACCTTTCCAATACACTGCACCAGAAAGTCCCTAGGTGGCGATAAAGATGAAATTGGTGGTAATCTCAGCATTGTCTATTATGTATTATGCATTTATTTCACAAGGAAAGTTACACTTCCTGATAGTGAACTGTGTTGTTTCCCTCATGTGCCAAGCACAGGAAATGCTACCCTGACTAAGAACAGCCAGCCATATCTGTTGCTGGAATGAACACCTCCCCAGTGTCTGTCCCAGCACTACTCCAGCTCCATCCCCCATGTCTATGGGCCCTTGATGTAAAGGCCCAATGTTTTGCCAGCACAGTGGAAACAGTACTAAACACAGGTACCACGAAGGTTCTTGTGAGAATCAAAAGAGGTTGCATATACACAGGAATTTTGAAAATTACAATGCATTGTACAGATACCAGGCCATAAGTCACCAAAATAAAATAATTTCTAAATTGGAGTAAAAGGAATTATAATTAGGCATTGATTTAGGATAACCATAAGATTTTCATCATGTATCAGTGAGGCAGAATAAATTATATAGCTATGACTCTTCAGTCCCTATGTAGATTATCGTTTACTGCCAAGATTAGACTGTCTTTGAGAATTAAATCAACATTAGTACTAACTGGTAATGATAATGAGAAATATCTACATTTCTCCAGAAAGGACACTAGCAATCATTTAAGTTTTTCTTTTAATACAGATTATAAAAAGCTCTTTGGAGCCTTTCAGGATCACCAGTTATCTAGTATCCTGTGTTGGTATGGCAGTGTTCTTAGCTTTTCCTTATGTTTCTTTTTTCTTTCTCTAAATGTCTGCAGAGATAATTATTCGTGGACATGATTAAACCATTCACCTGATAATATTTCTTAAATAGTTGTCCAAGAGCCCAGTAACATGCCTCACAAACACCAGCCTTTTCTGTGTTACTTTAAGAACATACATACTATTCATACATACTGTTTCAAAGACAAACTCACTGTTGTTTGCCTTCAGTACAATAGATAGCTTATTACTGCTGGAACAATTTGGAGCTAGAACACAAAAGTTGTTGTTTTTATTTTCTTTTGCTTTTTTTTCTTTTTTTCTGATTAAGTAATTTTACGTTTTTTAGAATTCAGAAAAGTCTTTTTAAAAAAATGAGAACAAATTTTCAGTTTGACTAAAAGAAACTGGGGGCTGGGGGCATGGCTTAGTGATAGAAAGCTTGCCTAACAATTGCAAGACCCCAAGTTTAAACCCCAAACTGTCCCAAAAATACCAGTAGTGGAAAAACTCCCATGATGAAAACATTCCCCTGTTTGAACCTGTACGCCATTGAAGGATCAGTTCCCACGGTTCTACTCTTCTGTGCTGATGTTCCTGGTGGTGCTCTATCCCTTCTTCCTTGGCAGGTTTTGTGATGATTCCTGTGAGTGGTTGGTTTTAAATGTGTTTGCATTAGTTTCCCCATGGTAGCTGAATGATGATCTAAACCCTTTAGCTTTCTGTATGGACTAGTATGTTTTTTTTTATTATTGTTTTGTTTGTTGTTATTCAGTTTGGTTTTTGAGATGGTATCTCGCCCAGGTTACTTACAAACCCATAGTCCTCCTGTCTCAGCCTCCAAGTAGTTTGTATTACAGGCCTTTGTTACCACACCCAGTGAGGCTAATGTTTTGTTCCTTAAAAGCACACATTCTCCTTTTCTTTTTAGTGCTTTATAAACATCAAGTTTTTCAACCCCTATTTGTGAGTCTCTGGATTGGTAAACATGACATACCCCGCCTTTGGCTTTTGTCTCTCTGTGTTGTACCACATTTTGACGTGTGAGATTGCATACTGTCTGTTCACGTCTGTGAGATTGGGATTAACCTTCCTGCCCCCATTCAATTTCCTTTCTAGGTCCAACTGGCCCACCTTCAACACTCCCTCTAAGCACCCAGACCTCTAGTGGCAGCTCCACCCTCTCCAAGAAGAGACCTCCTCCCCCACCACCCGGACACAAGAGAACCCTGTCTGACCCTCCCAGCCCACTACCTCATGGGCCCCCAAACAAAGGCGCAATTCCTTGGGGTAAGTTTTCCTAAAGGCAAGGCCAAAGCTGCCCAGGGCCAGGCAGAATGGGGGGGAAAGGGGGACTCCATTGGGCACTGAACAGTTAGTGAAATCAGAAAATGGACCAAACCTGCGCCTACTGGATAAAGATTTAGATATGTATAATTATGGTTATATCTGCCTCATAAGGCCAAGCAGCATTTTGAAAACATTTGGGGACATCAAAAGTTGATACTAGTTATAAGTACAATTGTGCCTCAGTGTCAGGGGATTGGTTCCAGACCACTACCCCATGATACCAACATCTGTGGATGTTTAAGTTCCTCATATTAAATGGCACGGTATTGCATATAACCTAAGCACATACACTTTGTCATCACTAGATAACTTATAATAACCTAACGCAAATGTGTTGTGTACAAATTCTGTACACATTCCATACGAACAAATACTTTTGATCCCCAGTTGATTGGCTTCACAGATAAAGAGTCCAGTGTAATAGTATGGGGTGCTAAAGCACATCCTAAATCTTACACAGTCACAACAGCAGCTCTGTGAGGTGAGTGCTGTTAATCCCACAGGAGAGGAAACATTCTCTGGAGAGGTCCATTCTCATGGTAATCAGAAGGGTTTTTTTACTAGACAGGAAAACAGGGTCAGATTATAGTCACTCTTGGCCTTCACACCTTTAAGGATATCCTGCTGAGCTTTAACTGAATGCAAACTCCTTATGCCAGAGCCTAGAGGGCCTCTCATTTCTATTCAGCCACTGGCTGTCCTTCCTGTCCTGGCCACCACCCCCTACACGTTCCCTCCCAAGGCCCTCACTCACCTCACTCCTCCTGCTCCTCGGAAGCCTGGCTCCCTGTCAGTCTTCTGCTCTTAGCTAGTACAGGTTTCTCCCTGAACCTCATCCCTCAAGTCGACGATTTCCTCCCACGCACGGTGAGAAATCCTCGAGGTTGGGAAATCCTTGTTGTGTCTGTCTTCCCATCTTGAATGTGCGCTCACAAATGCAGCACGCTTGTCTGTCCTGTCCTCATCTGTGTCTGCAGAGCCTGGGATAGTGCCTGGCACACACGAGATAATCAGTAATCTCTTGAGAATGAAAACCTCATCCGGTCAGCTAGTTTAATAATCAGTTCAGTGCCACCGACTACAAAGGAAAGATTTTTATCCACAAAACCTAATATTAATCTTTCTACTAACTTGCAACTACCCAGCAGGATCTTGGCCCACAGAAGTTCTACTGAAGGAACACATGGGCCTGTGTGTCTCACTTCTTCCTGTCAAGGAGTTTCCTCTGTGTATGTGTGTGTGTGTGTTTGTGTGTGTGTTTAACATGTAGATGAGGAATTCTACTTTAATGCTTTTAAAGACTTTCCCAAAACATACCTCAAGAGTTCTGAATTTTTTGTTTTCAGGAAACAAAAGAAAAAAGACTATCCACTTACAGATTGGAAGACCTCTCTACCCAAATTTTGTGTGTGTGTATGTGTGTGTGTGTTAGCCATTCATTGTCTGACTCCATTTATATAAGGTGCCTAGAGTGTGTGCTACTTGGTCATCTCAATCCATGTGCTCACAGAGCTCCTAGTCCAGTCCCTAAGTCCCAAGGAATAAACAATGGAAGTGCATGTTATTTACTGTCAGGGTAGCCGTAGTAACAAGATACTGTAGACATGCTGGAAAAGAATCAAACTGCCAGGTGAAGCCAGAGGAGGAGACATTTGAGGTTGGTTCCTTTTTAGCCAAGGAAAAGTAAGGAAGGCGAGAAAAATCAAGGCATGCAGGCAGATCTGTGCATAAATACCAGCAAAACATCTTGGCTAAATTTAGAACTTTGCATTCAAGAGTCATCAATTTGTCAAGAAGGGTTTCCCCGAGAATATTCCACCCGAAGTCACAGGTTTCCTGTGTAGAATTTCTTTTTTTTTTTCTTTTTTTTTGGGGGGGGGCGGTCTGGTCGTGGGGCCTGAACTCTGGGCCTGGACGCTGTCCCTCAGCTCTTCAGCTCAAGGCTAGCACTCTACCACTTGAGCCACAGCACCACTTCCGGCTTTTTTCTTTTTGCTTATGTGGTGCTGAGGAATTGAACCCAGGGCCTCAGGCATGCAAGGCAAGCGCTCTACCACTGAGCCACCTTCCCAGCCCCCCTGTGTAGACTTTCATATCACAACTTAATCTTTCCAAATTTCAATGAAGTTTGATCCTCCCTAGCTTTATTGTTTAGTTTACAAGGCTTATATCCACCTGGCAGAGGGCCAAACACTCTCAAATAACTACCAAATTTCTATTTTCTGGCTTAAAAATCATGACTTTTTAAAGTTTCTTCTTTCACTTCATTCAGCAGCAGAACTAGCATCTAACCTTTCTTCATCTCTAGTATTGGCAGAGTGGGGGCCTATTCCCTACGAAACTAAAGTTGTTACTACTTAGTAAAAGTGACTGCGTACATATCAGGAAGCAGTGGGCCTTTCATGGGTTGAGGCCTCGATCATCTACCATGCCCCCTGGCCTACAACCTGCCCTCAAGACTGTCCTTCGCAAGTGTAATATTTGTCCACATGACCAACTTTGGTGACCATCCACAACCCTGAATGTTAGTTCTAGAATCATCAAGGCTGTTGTCTGTGTGGCACATATGTAAGATAGACTCAGCTGCAGATGAATCCGTAATGGAAGCATGTGTATGCATGGACACAGCAGGTTAAACTTGGCTCTGATCCTGCTGTCTGTGCTTTATTGAGCCTGTCACCTGTGTCCTGCTAACATTGTATTCCATGAGCCAAAGGCAGAGATCACACCAGTCACTAACAAGACACGGAGAGGACTAACCTCTAGGCAGCATCTTCCCAGGGTTCCTCCATTCCCCTGAACCTCCCACCTCTAGAGACCTGGGACTCTGAGGTACCCAGAAGCTAAGGAGGTAACAGAGGACTAACTTACTTGCTCTCCTCAGGCCTCACCATCCAGAATAGGGTATGTATGCCAGATGAGATATAGTGGGTTCTCAGACCACAGTTTTTCTCACCAGGCCAAGTCTTCACTCATGACATGCCCTCAGCCTAGAATGTCCTTCCATCTATCTACCTGGGCTGATGCTTATTCATCAAAGCCCTGCTGTCCTGGGACTTGGTTAAAAGGCCCAGCCCAACACCCTCTCCCCTCCCCAAACACATACCAGTCACTGCTTCTGGTCCAGGGGTTTCCTATTGGCTCTGCTTCCTCCCTGTCTTTCCCAGAGGGTAGGACTCCTCAAGAGGCCGTAGGTGTTGTCTCCTCACATGAGAACAGAGTCCCTAGTGTGTCCCAGGAGTCAAAATACCCACACTCTGATCCCATCCTCACCACTTATTATGTTAGCAGGTTCTTACATTGTTTAGCCATAAAACAGGACTTGTACCTATATGGTATACAATTATCATGAGGATGAAGTGAGAAGGACTTAGAGGGCAAGACCCAGAACATAGAAAGCACCCAATGAGTGATAGTTCCTATTACTATCACACTCAGCCTAACACTTTGCTCAATAAGTAGTTGATATCAGAAACCTGCACAAGTTTCTTAAAGCCACTGTGTCACATGCTTCAAAAACAAACTATTCTCTTAAGTCTGGAGTCTGCCAAGTTCAAAATCTTGCAGGCCTGTGCTCGCTTCCAAGGGTTTACAGAAAAGCTCTGCCCTTGCCTTTATCAACCTCTGGTGACTCCAGGCACTCTGGAATTGTGTCTGACCTCAAATCATCTTGCTGTCTTCCCTCTGAGCTCTTAAAACCCTCTTGGCCTCTTTCTTACAAGGATTTTTGACATGGCATTTAGCACGTACCTGGATTTCTCGTGGTGATTTCTTCTCAAAAGTCTTAATACATTGGTATAGACTCTTTTCCTAATCTAGTCATCACCCTGGCAACCTACCTGCATCACGGCAGCCTCTTACACCTGTCTCACTTTAAAGCCTGGGCTGTTGGGAGGTTCTCCCATCACCTCCCTCTTTCTGGACTCAGGTATCATAGTTCAGCTTACTTGCAGAGCAGTCATACTGACAAGCCCTGCCTCCCCTAACATTCATTCTTTGCTCTATCCTGAGCAGTAATACTGACCAGCATTCAACACTAGCCTTTAAGGAAGAGGTGGAAGACAGTTTAAGGAAGAAGTAGAGCTTGTGTTTAGCCTTAGAAGATGAATGGAACAAACTTGAGAAAAATAACCAAGGCAAAGACATTGAGGTACCCTTTAGTGAAGGCCAAAAGCATAACCTATAGTGCACCACCTGCATAGATGGTCTCACTTCATGACATAGGCTTTCTCTTCCTAACCTTCCATAATCCATTTTATGCCTTCAGAAATTATTGGTACAGAGCCAAGCACAATGGTGCATGTAATAATACTTAGGAGGTAGACATAAGGGAATCCCAGTTCAGTGCTAGCCTGGGCAAAAATTAGTGGACCCTATTTCAAAAGCAAGCTGGGCATGGTGAGGCCTATAATTCGAATTATTCTGGAAGCTGGGGTTTGAGACATGCATGGGGAAAGTTAGTACAAGACTCTTCAAATAAATTAACTAAAAGCAAAAATGACTTAAGCAGTAGAGTACTTAGCTAACAAGCTTAAGGCCCTGAGTTAAATCTCAGGACTACTACTACTACTACTACTAATAATAATCATAAAATTCCTGGTGTGGGTTTTAAGGCCCAGAAGAAAAAAGAAAATGAAAATTCATCATTAAGAACCTTTAAGTAGGAACTGGAAAGGTAGCTCAGTGGTAGAGCGCTTGCCTTGCATGCATGAGGCCCTGGGTTTGATTCCTCAGCGCCACATAAGCAAAAAGAAAAAACCCAGAAGTGGCACTGTGGCTCAAGTGGTAGAGCGCTAGCCCTGAGCTGAAGAGCTGAGGGACAGCGTTCAGGCCCCACGACTGGACCAAAAAAAAAAAACGCTAGCCTTGAGCTAAAAAGCTGAGGGGATAGCACCCAGGTCCAGAGTTCAAGGCCCACAACTGACCAAAAAAAAAAATTATAAAAAAAAGAACCTTTAAGTAAAAGCCAACCTACCTACTTGCTTGCCTGCTTCCTACCTGCCTATCTTCAACCAGTACTGGTGCTGGAACACAGGGCTGGGTACTGTCCCTTAGCTTTTTCACTCAAAGCTAGTATTCTACTATCTGAGCTACTTCCAGTGTTTAATTAAAGATGAGACTCTCATGCAGTTTCTTGCCCAGGTTGGCTTTGAACCACAATCCTCAAATCTCAATCTCCTGAGCAGCTAGGATTATACTGACACCTAGCTCCTATAAGGTTAACCCTTGTAAGCATCCTCACAGAGTACCAGGCAGTGAATTAAATGGTTTGCATACAGTATGACATGCCATTCCCTCAGCCTTAAGGACACTAGGCTCAGGTTAAATAACTTACTACTGTTCTCTCAGCTGGTATTTGAGTCTAGGATTTGTTTCTTTTTCTTTTTTTTTTTTTGGGGGGGTCCGGTTGTGGGGCCTGAACTCTGGGCATGGGCGCTGTCCCTCAGCTCTTCAGCTCAAGGCTAGCGCTCTACCACTTGAGCCACAGCACCACTTCCGACTTTTTTCTTTTTGCTTATGTGGTGCTGAGGAATCGAACCCAGGGCCTCAGGCATGCAAGGCAAGCACGCTACCACTGAGCCACCTTCCCAGCCCCAGAATTTGTTTCTTGTTGTGGCCAAAAGCCCACACTCCTCCCCCTGTCCACTGGCTGTCTTCCGAAATTTCATGTGACAGCTCTGGGCCTGACAAATTAGATGACCCAGTCCACTTCCTGTCCCACCTGTCCAGTTGTTTCTCTTCCTGTGAAGCTAGGACACGGGGAAGGTACTCCACTTGGTGTGCGGCTCCACCTGGTTCAGGCAGGGATGGTCACATCAAGGTCTTTTTCCTGCCAGACCTACAGCACCCAGAATGGGCCAAGCCTCGCATACTGAAGTCCTCTGCTGGGTGCCTCTCCTGGAAAGCCTCAGCCTCTCAGGAAACCTTTAAGGCAGGCAGGCTTTTGGTAAGGAGACAGGCCAATGGACGATCTTGACTTTTATGAGGATAGCAGCATTTCATTAAACCTCCTTTTTAATGACCTACTATAAGGCAGATGACACATTTGAACACAGCTTAAATAATAAGGAAATGAACACCAAGAGTAGAGTAAAGATAGCAAAGTAAGATGAAGTCTGGGATTGTGATCTCAGCATTCATAATCAGATCAGATGCTGTGGCTGGACATGGACTTTGGATAGGACAGTGCAAGAGGCTCGCAGGAAAAAGCAAAGAAGGAAGCACAGCCACTCAACTTGTTTATGGTAGGCCTAAAATGAATCCTGTTCTTGCACCTGAGATGCTTGGAGTGAATACCAGACAGCAGTTCCCCAAGGGATTTTCATCCTTCCGCACTGAGAGGCATTCCTGCAGCGCACATTATGGGAGACCATGTGTCCACTGGGGAGCATTCCAGAAGCCTGAGTTCTGGCCCACGTTCTACCAATCTCTGCCTACGTGATCACTGGCCTGTAAAACTGTAGACACAGACATAGATACATTTTTCATGGAGATAGAGCAGGTATAGTTTCCTCACACATTTGTGTTGGGCCCTCATAGCCATCCTTAAACATAGCAACTGTCATTGTCTCCAGCTTACAGATGAGGATTGGTGCAAGTAGAAGACAAATGATGTGCTTACTAGCACAAACTGAGTGACTTCAGAACAGAGATTTGACTCTGATTCTACAGCACATAACTACGTTGCTGTTCCAAAAGCTTCTGGGGTCTGTTTGCTGTATTACTGAGCTGATGCTCTTGCCTTCTCCATCAACTCAGCCTGCACCTTATGAGCTACATAAGTGGCCAAGAGTCATGCCCACGGGTTCTTTCCTTTGCTGCCCAATATCTGTATCCAGCTCTCACAAATCTGTATGACATACCAAGGACCTTTCCAAATTGCATACAAGAAAGACACAAATGCATTTCACTGCTTCCTTATATTTGCTCTTCATTCTCCTCTTTATCGGCACCATCAAATTTTCTAAATTTTTTCTAGACAAGCTTTTCTCCCCCAGTACAACAGGTAGCCTTTGCCTCACTATGAGAAAAACAGCATTATTGTCAGTCCATTACAGGTGGCTTCCCACCCAGGTGTGGGAGAAACTGAGTCCCATCTTTTTGCAACAAGAGCCGGTTGATAACCGGTAGACATTATGCTAGAAAACGAGATTACACATGAGGAACTCACTGTCTTGGAGGTGCTTACCTACTGAATGTGTCAGTGTCATTTCTGTTTTAAGTTCTACCAAAGAGCTGTGGAGAAGAATTGATGTCACACTTCCCTAGTGCTTCCGGCACTGTGCCCTGCAACCCCAGTCCACCTCCATGCTCACAACCACCTAGTGTAGTGGTCCAGTTGTTATTCCTGCTGTAGAGTTGAAATGGAGGCTAACTAGAACATGTCCTCCCATGTCACACCTCCCATGTCAGTGACTCCTCTGGAAGTGAAACCCTGTGTTGGCCTCCAGAGCCTTATCTGTAACCTCTCCCCAGGAGGGTGCTGTCAGGCTGGCCTGGGACAGTTCTCTGCCTATGATTCATTCTTTGAATAGTCTGTGGGAATTCAACAAGAGTGAACCGGGACACGCCCTGGGGAAGGGAAGAAGTAAGAGTGGCAGAGTTACACAGGCATAAAAATCTTGTCTGGAAAGCCAGTGTAAGTGGTCAGGGAGTACACATGTATGTTAAGCATCACTTGGAAATGCCTCCTGCATGAAAAGGAGCTGTGTATTCCCCAGACATTCACTGCAAGGGCTCCTTCCAGTCTGAAGCATGTGGTTTGGGACCCAGCTATGTGGACCCAGCATGGAGCACAGGGCCAGAGATGCCTGCCTTTCCGTGGCTCCTGAAAGACCCAAACAAGTCCTGAGTATCAGGCCCAGGCACGGTTAGGAGGAGGATCTTATTCAAATGAAGCAGGAGTCAGGTTTAAAGGTCTTTGGTGCTAGTACTGCCAGTCCGCTCAGGAGCTTGTCTCAGCACTGCCAGCCTCTCCCATTGAGTGGTTTTGGTCAAGCTTCAGCAGGGAGTTCAAAGCTCTGTGTCCCAGCACTAACCCTTGAACACATTATTCTCCCTCTCTATATGTTTATCCATGTATGAAATGGAAGAGGTGACTATATCTCATGAGCGAAGTTACTTGGAGGTACTTGGCATAATACCTTGTAAGGTATAGTAAGCGCTCAGTAAATGATAGCTGTTGTTACTAATGTGACTACTTTAGTATCACAATGGGGTGTGAAGAGCACATAGACAAGGTCAGGGCTCATGATGCTTGCAGCCACATGGACATTTGGCCTCATTTCCTTACCTTTAAAAAGGGGAATGCCATGCCAGTCCCTCGTGCTGTGGGGAAGAGTGGCAGGATAGATGAGAAAGTATTTTGAGGGCAGCCGATGGTCAGCTTCCCTCGTCCAGCTTCCTCCAGGTACCTGGCAGCTGGGAGCCTCAGTCCTGTCCTCCCTCTGCCCTTCCACTCTGGAATGGTCACAGAAAAGCCCACGTTTATTCCAGTTCATCTTTTGTCCTCCTGGGCTCAGCGCACTTCTGTCTACCTGTGTGTCTCTGGTTTTGCCACTGTGGAGGTACAGTGTCCTCCAAGGATAGCCCCCCCTACCCCCTCTCACTGGCTAGACTTTAACACTATATCCTTGTCATTTTCCCAGAGGACAACCCAGCTCAGTGCTCTTTTCATTCCACACGATTACATGCTTTCTGTATGTAAGTCTCTCAAGCCAGGTGCTACGCTCTTTGAATGTAGTGACATTTTACCTTCTTTTATGTGTGCCACTTGGCATTCATACTTGGCACATAGTAGGTGCTTAATGAGTGTTAACATTCTGCTGAAAGGTGAGTTGGGAAGTGGCTGAGGTGAGGACTGGCTGAAGCTAACCACACACATGTCCATACTTGGGAGCTAGGCCTGTCATCTGATTGGCTACTAGAGGTGAGTCTCTCAGCCTGCCAGTCTCCGCTGAGACCAGGCCAAGCCCTGGACACTGAGCTACTGGGACATCATCAAATCCCCGTGATCTGAGAGGCATGGCCGAGGGGAAGGCTGCTCACCTTATTGACAGTCTCCTCTGCCTACAATTAAAAAAAAAAAAAAAGCCCAGAGTAACGCTTGGTTTTGTTTTGTTTACTTTCTGACTTTAAAAGCTCTCCGTGGGTGTAAGGGCTGCCAGTACCACATCCGTCCCTCTGCATCCCTCCCCCATGTTGCCCGACCGTGTCTGAGGTGCCACTTTCAACTTTGCATTCTCCTTGCAGGTAATGATGTGGGTCCAGCGTCATCTTCAAGTAAAGCTGCGAACAAGTTTGAGGGGCTGTCTCAGCAGTCAAGGTAAGCTGCTCCAAGCGCTAGCTCATAGTTGCAGTGGTCTAAGTTCTAGAAGTGGATTTTAGTTGTTTTCCCAGCAATATTTGAAATGTGGTGAGCTGGCAGCACAGGTTACGGAAACTGAATGCTCACTGGGGTGGCATTGGGCTCCTGGGCTGTAATAGAGCGCCCTAGCCTGGCATAGGTCGGCCGTGGCCCCGCCTTGTCCACACAGTGACTGGCAGCAGAGCCTCCATTCCCTGCTGTCCAGTCAGGCCTACAGAGGTCTGGACCAAACTCTCATTGGGCCCTCAAAGTTTATTTGGTGTTGTAATGAAGTAACTGTTCTTTCTTCTTGGCCCTTTGAAAGAGTGAAAATGAAAAGGTACTCCTCGAGACAGTCCAGTGCCCTGGAGATCTCCAAAGAGACATGGGAGGCTCTTCCTGGGTTCCCAGTTTGCAAGATGTTTGTGGCTGGGCGGAACAGTACTGTTTTCTCCCGTCCTTTCACTGAAATGGGGTGCCTTGGTAGACCTTCCTGGAGCAGTGTTCACAGAGCCCCCTTCCAGATGGCTTCCTGTAGAAGTGAGCTGAGATCCGGACCCAGAGCCACGTCTAGATACGAAATTTCAGCTGAGGGCAGGGTCAGAAACTGATTTGTACAATCCATTGAAGATGTGAAAAGAAATTTTTTTTGATAGTACTAAGGTTTGGGGCCTTGCCCTTATATTAGGCAGGTGTTCTACCACTTGAGCCATGCCTCCAGCCCTTTTTCCTTTCATTTATTTTCCAGGTAGGGTCTCGTGCTTTTGTTTCTTAAATCCTCCTTCCTCCTCCTCCTGTATAGCAGGGATTGTAGGCATGAATCATATTTCTAGCTTGTTTTATGAGATAGGTTCTCACTTTTTTTCCCAAGTTGGCATCATGTTATGGTTCTTTCATTTCTACCTCCCCATAGCTGGGGTTGGAGATGTGTACCACATCTAAACCTCTCCTCCCACCTTTTTTTTTAATGCCACTATTTTGATCTGGATAGAGATACATCAAACTACCATGGTCTTCAGTTTCACAAGTGAGAAAACTAACCCCAAAATGGTTCAGTGGCAGCATGGCTGTCAGAGTTCTCTCTCCCTTCCTCCACACTCCATGTCCCAGGCTCCTTCATATACTCAGCCTGAGTTTGTTCTCAGTCTTCCAACCTGTCATGTGCACACCTTCTCTTGCACTGTGGCTTCACCTCAGCAGCGTTAAGGTCATCAGAACCTGGGGGAAAGCAGGCAGAGCCAGGCATCCCAGAGCCATGAGTCTCATTTCCCCTGAACTCTTGTGGGTTGGTTGATTGGGTGGTTTGGCTTGCTCTTTCCCACTCAAATGCAGTTAGCATAAAGAACACGTGCCATCTTTCAGAACACCAGAGGCCCTAGATCATGGCATGGGCATTGCTGCTTGTGTTCCTTGTGTGCACAGCCTGGGGCCTCTGAGTGCTCTCCCGGCCTCTCATTAACGGGACGGCATGACTTCTAGCTAGTTGATGCCAAGTTTGATTGTTCAGGAAGCATGGTACGCACTTCTGTGCCAGCGACTTGGGCATTTTTTCCCCCTACTTATTTACATGTCCTCCACAAGGAGGCCCTAGCCAAGAGCAAGCCTGGAGGCTTGTGAAAGCAAGCTGTAAGGTGAGGAGGAAGGAAGCACTCAGGGACCCACACAGCTTGATTTCACTTCCACCACTGAGCAGCCTGGAGACCCCTGCTGGCCAGCGATACTCCACACACCTCAGTTTTCCTGTCTGAAATGGGGCTTGGGGGCTGCTTTGTGGAGGGAGGGAGTATTCTACCCTACATAGGAGCCACAGTGTGCTGTGTGTAAATTTTCATCCCTGGAAGGACCATGGTGTGGAAGGCTTGCTTTATTGTTAATGGGAACTTTTTTTCTACACCCTTTCCCTGCATTTCACCAGTAGTGCAAACTGAAATACAGAAAGTAGACAATGATCTTTTGTTTAAAAAACAAAACAAAACTGAGAGGAGTCTTTAGGTAATTCTATCAATGCCTTTGGGTTAGTTTAAATAATCTCTGTTGGTATTGTAGCCCACTTAGGTCCTAACTACTGTTGTTTATTAATTAGCACCAGTTCTGCAAAGACAGCCCTTGGCCCCAGAGTTCTTCCCAAACTACCTCAGAAAGGTAAGATTGATCTTGTTCATGTTCACAGGTGTCTAAATTGTGACCACATCTGCTGGGGACAGGGATCTCTGTTGTTCACTCATCTTCCAAATGTCTAGAGGACTGCCAGGCATGTGGTGTGTGGTAGAGGCCCAGGAAGTAGCAGACAGCCACCCTATTTACAGATTGCTTACATGTGGTTTTGACCAAGCATGGTTAAAAACAATGTCTTTTAAATCAAAGGAAACTTTAAATTCACATACACACTGGCAGTGGAGCTCCCTTGATGCAGCAAAGCTCCTGGCCCCACATTATTTCAGTTGGGTTTAAATTTTGGGGTGAAATACGTCTCCCAAAAATTAGACAATGCCCCAAAAGCAAGGTAAAAAAAAACTTGTTAACATGTTTAAGTGATAAAGTAAAAATCTGAGGGATTTTTTGAAAGGCAGGATGTCTTTTAGCAGAAGTGATGCTATGGGAAAATGAATCAAGCATCTGAAGTACAGCACTGAACTCTGCTTCCTGATGCATGATTTTTCCTTAGCAGCGGTCTCCTTGGGACCATAGAGTCCTAGATAGCGTGGGCCTATTGCATTTATAAACTCAAACATCTCTGAGTTGTAAGACATATTATTATGACCCCCAGGGATCATTCGTTCCCCTTTCTTAGTTTTGATCAGAGATTAGGAGCCAGTCTGAGCTCTTGGACTCACTTACTGTGATTTGGGGCAAGAGACCCGATTCCCCAGCTGAGAAGTGGGAAATCCTGCTGGCCCCATCAGGCTCTGTAAGCAGAGTGAAAGTGTGCCTCAGCAAACCCCTAGCAAGAGGGTAAGAGGGTGGCATCTGCCATGCAGAGTGGGGATGCCGGGCTCTGCCAAGCACATGAGAGCTTGTCTATAGACTGCTTCCCAGGCAGGCATTCCACTTTGAGCAGGTCTTTTGTCTTCCATAATCCTTCCAATACTGTTCAGCCTCCTAAAGTTTTACCCTCCTTGTTACAATGTAAGTGATCGCGTAGCCTGCTTACCTTTAGATACACAGGTTCCCTTCAGAGACGCCTGTTTCACTCAGTCCTGTGTAAGATCTCAACGGACGTGCAGAGTGGCAGGGTAGCAGGGTGGGCAGTGCCATCAGCAGCAAGCCCTCTTAGTTGAAGTTCACCCTTCTCCAAACTCTTAGGTCAGGTGTTACCTCAGAAGTCTTAGGTGACATAGCAGAAGCCACAAGGTTGACCCACAACCCTTGACTGCTGAGTCTATAGGGCTGTGTTTTGTTAGTGGTAGTTTTTGATTGTTCTTTTGTTTGGGGCTTTGCGTGTGTGTGTGTGTGCGTGTGTGTGCGTGTGTGTGCGTGTGTGTGCGTGTGTGTGTGTGTGTGTGTGTGTGTGTGTGTGTGTGTGTGTGTGCTGGTTCTGGGGCTGGAACTCAGGGCCTAGGCTCTGTCCCTGAGCTGCTTTTGCTCAAGGACTCTACCACTTTTGCCACAGCTCCACTTCTGGCTTTTTAGTGGTTAATTGGAGATGAGTCTCACTGACTTTGCTGCCTGAGTTGGCTTCAAACTGCAATCCTTAGATCTCAGCCTCCTGAGTAGCTAGGATTATAGGTGTGAACCACCAGCAAAAATAGCTCTGCTGCACCTCCCTGACAACTTACAACTTCAGGGTTTCTTCTCCTTCTTGTCTCCTCTGTCTTCTACAGATTGTTTTCTAAGTGTGTTCTGTTTTAAAGGTGAAGTTCTTTATTTGATTCTCTCAGTACCCCTTGTATGGCCATTTCCTCCCTGAGTGTAAGCTAAGCGCTTGACCTCTGTACCCAGAACAAGAATTCTGAAATAAGGAATCTTGGCTCAAGGAACCCTGTTTAACAATAATGATAACTGTGCTCTTAGAGAATGTTTGCAGCCTGCCAGGTCCTGTCAGTGAATTCTTTACGTAGCTTAATTCACGTAACTCTCATGACAGCCATTCAAGGAGAGTCTTAGAGATGAAGAGGCACAGAAAGGGTATATAACATGCCCAACAGTCAGACAGCTAATAAGAGGTTGAGCTAAACTGGTGCTGTCCTGAGTATCTAAAGTGTTCCTCTCCAGAGCTATATACAAAGAGCTGTGAAAACTGTAAAAATGGTTCAACTTTGGCATTGTAGCGTTGCCTACACTCTGGGCTAGGATGCAGCTGGTAGAGAGAATGACAGGACATCTTAAGCAGAGAACACAAGCCTTCAGATGGCCAGTATCTGCATTGGTCTCATCGGCATGTGCATATAACTGCAAGGTGGGTGCATATCACTGCAGAGGGGGTGTTGGAAGAAGGTAGTTATTTCTTGCTGCGTGGATCATATAAAATGGGAAATACATTATGGTACAGCTGTAAAACTGGCTAGATGCCCCCTTCAGAACATCTCTTCTTCTGATAAGGAATTTTAAAGCATGGCAGATGCTTTTGCTAAACCAATTTGTAAAACAGAAATGTATCTGTAGGAAAATCAAGAATGAAACACAAAGGTGGTTTAAATGGCTACACAGAGGCGACAGGCTTATGGGAAAGCTTCGTTAGTGTACTTTACAGTTCCTTCACCGCCCCCCCACCCCCACCCCATTGTCTCCCACAGTGGCACTAAGGAAAACAGAAACGAGCCATCATCTCTCCCTGGACAAAGCCAATGTCCCACCTGAAATTTTTCAGAAGTCATCACAGTTGGCAGAGTTACCACAGAAGCCACCACCTGCAGACCTGCCCCCGAAGCCCACAGAACTGGCTCCCAAGCCCCAAATTGGAGATTTGCCACCTAAGCCCGGAGAACTGCCCCCCAAGCCACAGCTGGGCGACCTTCCACCGAAGCCCCAGCTCTCAGACTTACCTCCCAAACCACAGATGAAGGACCTGCCCCCCAAACCACAGCTGGGAGACCTGCTGGCCAAGTCACAGCCAGGTGACATCTCCCCCAAGACACAGCAGCCCTCAGATGTCACTCAGAAGTCACACCCAGGGGATCTGTCCCCGCATATGCAGTCCCGGGACGCCATCCAGAAACAAGCATCTGAAGACTCCAACGACCTCACACCCACTCTGCCAGAGACGCCCGTACCACTGCCCAGAAAGATCAACACGGTGGGTGGCACCAGGGCTCAGGCACTCTGACCCCTGTCTGCACATTTTCTTTTCTTCTCTTCACTTTCTTTCTTGTATGCCAGTCATGGTCCTTGAACTCACAGCCTGTGTGCTGTCCCTGAGCTTTATTGTTCGAAGTTAGTGCTCTACCATGTGAGCTACAGTTCCACTTCCTGTCTACACAGTTTCTTTTCTTTTGCAGCACTTGGGGGGCAAACCTAGAGTCTGTGTGTCGTAGGTAAGCTCTACCACTAAACTGCCTCTCTAGGCTCTGCTGCAGTTTGAACATTGGCAGAAGGCCACTTGCTCCAATTTACATGAGGAAATGGGCACTCCCTCACCCATCTGGCTGCACGTCCATGCTCTGCTTCAAGACAAGGGTGGGACGCAGCTTAGGGGTTAGTGATGCAGACTCTGCACTCCAACAGGCCTCAGACCTGGTTCAGGGCCTCATAGATTGCACACATGTGCATTGCACTCACCTCTGTGTCTGTGACTCATAGTCAGAGGAGCAGATAGACTACCAGACTTACAGAGGATAAAAGACAAGATCTTGGGAAAGAAACATCTTCATTTTCTGGGATCCTAAGAAAGCAGTTTTCCAGCTTTGAGTTGTTTCTAACTCTCCTTCTCACTGAACCTTCCTGAAGGAACCAGGGCGAAAGCCCAGAGACCTCCACAGATGGAATTCTGTAAAAAGTCTCCACATCCCATCACTGTCCTGAGACTCTCCACATCCTCCAATGCCTCCCCTTTATCTTCATGTACAAGTGCTTTTTTTTGAGCCTTTCTTCCTGACAACCATTTTTAGAAACATGATGTTCCGCAGAAATGGAACACTAGCCATCCTCCAGCCTCAGTTTCCTCAAGTATCAGGCAGAGCAAGAATGTCTACAGGCCCCAGACATGGCTGCACCCCATGAGGCAGGAACACCCAAGTTAAGAGCACAATAAGAGAGTAAGCCAGAAGTCCTATTACACAGGACAGCTCTAACTCTTATTATAAAACATGGCTACAACAGAAGTGTATCACATCAAAACCAAAGAAAGATAAACGCAGTAAACCCTGTCCTCTTGTGCACTAGAGACCACCACGGCTAGTGCTAATCCAGTGATGCTGTTCTCAGGAGATCCTCCCTTGCCGCACAGGCACCCGGCCTTTTTGTGTCCGCACAATTGCAGCTCATGCTGTGTGCATTCTACTCCTATTTTCTTATCTAAGCCCACCATTGTAAATGAACACATCCGAGTCAGCAGGAGATGAAAATCTGCTGCTGCCACAGTTCTTCTGAGTTTCCCAGACCCCACGGGCTCCCCCCCCCCCCCCCCCCCCCCCGGGAACTCAGGAGCTGAGATCAGCCAGGAGAAACTAGGGACTAAGAGGGACAGAACATGATTTTGTTAGCTGGTATTCCTAAGAAGGCACTGTCTCTGTGTGCATCTCCTTGTCTTCCAAGAACTGGAAGTCCAGCCAATAAAAACTGGTCACAAATTACAACTGTTTTGGGAATCGTGCAGGACCTTCTGGTCCACCAACGCGTCCTGACCTGCTGTTTTGCATGAGGGAACAGAGAAATCTGTTTATGCTGCACATTCAACATGCACAGGCTGCACATTTTGCTTTTACATCATGTTTCCTAAAACCATTTTTAGACTCTGCTGTCATGTGTACAAGCTAAGGCTGGAGGGATGGGGGGGGGGGGGGGCGGGGAAGGGCTGTCCCCTGGAGGGGGACAAATCTGAGTTGTGATTGCCACCCGCACTGGCTGCTGTGGAGCAAGCGAGCAGCACAGGCACCAGCCGGATGCCGGGGAGGAAGAGGCTGTCAAACATCCTCCCCACACTTGCAGTCGAGGAAATCGGGGCTCAGCAAATTGCCGTCGCCTGCCTAAGGTCACCCACCATATAGAGTGCTTAGGTCTTTTCTCTATCAGTCTGTTCTCCCTGCTGAAATCCAGGTTTTTGCTGTTGTTCTTGTTGAAGGGGAAAAACAAAGTGAGGCGTGTGAAGACCATTTATGACTGCCAGGCAGACAACGACGACGAGCTCACGTTCATCGAGGGGGAAGTGATTGTTGTCACAGGGGAGGAGGACCAGGAGTGGTGGGTATGTACGGCCCTGGCCCATTCGTCCAGCCAACCAGCTTTTCCATGCGCCCTGGGCTCTCACCACCCATTCATCCATCCTGCCAGCCTTTCCACACACCCTGGTACCTCCTACTCGGGTGCTGCAGATACCATGGGGAAGAGAGTCCTCTCAGGCATAGATCCTGCCAGCTGCATCGCTTACCTAGGAGTTTGTCCTTTTCTGTCTCTGGTATGTGCTAGAAAAACGCATCTATTTCTTGCACATAGCCAAGGGAGTCGACTTTTTTTGGTTTTTGTAGTATCAGAGTTGAAGCTCGGGAGCTTTGCGAACTAGACAGGCACCCTACCATTTGAACCACATCACCAGCCCTTTTTGCTCATTTTAGGGTCTTGCTGTTTTGTCCAGGCTGGCCTAGACTGCAGTCCTACTGTTTCTACTTCCCTATAGCTCGAATGATAAGGCACACACTACCACACCCAATTGTTGGTTGAGATAGGGATCTCACAATTATTTTTGCCCAGACTAGCCTCAAACCACAATCTTCCCAATCTCAGTTTCTTGAGTGGCTAAGATTACAGGCATGATCTACCGTGCATGCCTGGCTGAGAATTAACATTTACATGTGTTTTTTTCCCCATGGTAGCCTATCATAATTTCATATGTTGAAGGTGTTACTTAATTTTTAAGATGCAAAACTCACTTTTCCTTTTTTCTTTTTCTTTTTCTTTTTTTGTCAGTCGTGGGGCCTGAACTCTGGGCCTGGGCGGCGCTGTCCCTCAGCTCTTCAGCTCAAGGCTAGCACTCTACCTCTTGAGCCACAATGCCACTTGTGGCTTTTTCTCTTTATGTGGTGCTGAGGAATTGAACCCAGGGCCTCATGCATGCTAGGCAAGCACTGTACCACTGAGCCACCTTCCCAGCCAAAACTCCCTTTTCTTGAGCACATTGTCTATGGCCATGTAGTTAATAAGCATGCAAAGTGGAGACTCTTGAGTGGATCCTGGCCTGAAGACCTGTGTGCTCCACTCTTTCCACAGTGCTCCGCTCGTTCAGGCCAGAGTTGGCCATGGAGGCTCAGCTGCTGAGCAATGCCCAGTGTGGCCCTGATGCCTTCCTCACATGATTTTACAAGATTAAGTGAAAATATCTTCACATCTCCTTTTATGTTCAAATCTGCCATCCAGATGTGAGGAAGGGACGGCCTTGCTGTCTCTCCACAGGGCAGCCAGGAGACCAGCTGCCGAGGCGGGAACGCTTCCCCATGGGAGCTGCCCGGCAGCCAGAGCACCTTTCCCAGCGTTAGCATGGAGTTCTGTGTGGTGGCAGCCTGAGTCCCCTTGTCCCAAGAGAGGTCAGTGCTGTCCACAGGCCAGAGTCGAGCAGAAGCATGTGTCCACTTGCAAAAGGCTTTCTTCCTTCAGGCCTGTGGCTTAGCAGGATTTGCTCACTGCTCCTCCAAGGGGAACTTCTCTCCCAGGACTAATAGCAGTATCTGCAGATACTTTTACTGTCAGGACTTGGGAAAAGTGAGGCCTTTGGCCTCTAGTGGGTAGAAGCTGGGGTGCAACTCTCACCATGCCATGTCAAGGGGAGCCCCACTACAAACTGTCAGTAGTTCCAAGGTTGAGAACTAGGGCTGCAAGGGCAGAGCTGGCCAGCACTTCCTATTTTCTTTTTTTCTTTTTCTTTTTTTTGCCAGTCCTGGGGTTTGAACTCAGAGCCTGGGTACCATCCCTAGGCTTCATTTTTGTTCAAGGCTCACATCTACCACTCGAGCCATGGCACTACTTCCAGTTTTTTTCTGTGTATGTGGTACTGAGGAATCCAGCCCAGGGCTTTATGCATGCAAGGCAAGCACTCTATCACTAAGCCACATTCCCAGCCCTGGCCAGCTCTTCTCCATTGGGCAGTGTGCTCAGGCGGCCAATAGTCTCTCTGGCTTCTGCCAGCAGAGTTGAGCTGCTTCCTGCAAGCACCTGCCAGCGAGCCTGCTTAGGACAGTGACAAGAGGCTGGACAAGAGGCACTTCCCAGTGACATCCATTACTCACTCTGTGGCCTTGATACAGCACGTCCCTCTGTAAGCCGTTCCTGAGGAACACCTGAGACAGCCCCCACGGATGGCATCCCGCGCAGTGTGGTGCACGGCTGACGTCATTACGCTCAGCCAGTGGTTTTTGTTACACAGAGACCAATGGTTCCAGCTAAGACATCGGGGAGAAGAGCATTTCCCAGGAATCTGTAGTATCAATCCCTGGGAGAGTTCTGCAGGCCCAGCGTGACAGAAATTGTCATCATGGTAACATTGATGTGTCACTGCATGATGCCAACGATGACCTCACAAGATGGTTAGACCAGGCCCTGGCACTAGCTCTACTTCCTACCTAGGAAACCATGAGTGTGGATGGCTCTTATGAGCACAGCGCTAGGCTAGACATGGCTCCTGTTCCCTTTGCTACCTTGTGCGGGGAGGAGGAGTTGCCCTGCTCTGAAGTCACCTCCTCTGGGTATTTGGCCTTTTAAGCCACTGCATGTGATTCTCTTATTCCTTCAGTTGAAGGTTCCTGTCTGGTGTGATTCTTTTTAATACAATTGACACTAATTTAATTGAGGTAGACATGATTTTTAAAACTTAAAGAAAAATCTTGGCTGGAGGCATGGCTTAAGTGGTAGAGCGCCAGCCTAGCAAATGCAAGACGCTGTTTTCAACTTCCTATATAAGGATTAGATAGAGGTAGCACACCAGTCAGGAGCCAAAAAAAAATTTTTTTTGCAGGTAACTGTAGCTTTGAGGCTACAAGCCACCATAAGACTCAAAAGAGCCCCAACAGCCTTTTGCTCCGTATCCAGAAGAGTAAAATGTACAAAATGGTCCCTTCCATGTATTCATTTCTTCTGCTTTAATCGAATCACATAAGCCTTGAAAGAGTTGGGGTTTTTTGTTTGCTTTTTGTTTCATTTCGTTTTGCTAGTCCTGGGGCTTAAACTCAGGGCCTCTATCACCGTTCCTGAGCTCCTTTTGCTCAAGGCTAGCACTCTATCACTTGAGCTACCACCACTCCACTTTTGGTTTTCTGTGATTAACTGGAGACAAGAGTCTCACCGACATGGCTACCCAGGTTGGCTTTGACCCACGATCCTCATACTTCAGCCTCCTGAGAAGCTAGGATTACAGGTAGTGAGCTACTGGCACCAGGAGAGTTGGAGTTTCTTAAAACTTATTTTACAAATGAGAGACTTAGCATCATTTGTTAGAAGTCACCCTGCTGGAAAGACAGCCTAGCCCAGACTGAGGAACCTGAAGCCCAGGCACCCTGGGCAGGTTCTCCTACCTCTCTGGGCTGCAGCGCAGGTGCAGTGGGGTCTGTGCTCAAGTGCTGAGCATCTTTGTAAACTCTGTCTGGCTACTTTGTGCTTGTTGCTGTGTTAAAGCATTGTCTGATCTGTGAGCTCTGTGAGCAGAAGTGAGCCTGGGCTCTGGACCGAGGTTGGGCCAGGCTGTCCCTCACTGCACTTGTCCAGGGCAGCAGCCTGCTGCCTCCAGCCTGACCAGTCTCTTTTCTCCCTGCAGATTGGGCACATCGAAGGACAGCCTGAGAGGAAGGGAGTCTTTCCGGTGTCCTTCGTTCACATCCTGTCTGACTAGCAAAAAAGCAGAACCTGAAGATGGTCCACGTCCTTCATGCAGACCTCTGCTTCCATGTAGTCCTGTGTACAACGTGTATATAGCTGCTGTTACAGAACAGGAAGCTTGTGGGAGGGCCACTCAGGAGGGAACATAGTGTGAGTTGTAAATATCCTGTGGTCCCTGCCTTCACCAGTATTAGGGTAGCCTCGGGACCGGCACGCCTTACTGGTTTGCCAAAGCCATCCTTGGCATCTAGCACTTACATCTTTCTCTCTCTATGCCATTCTACAAGCAAAGAAAGAAAGAAAGAAAGCAGGAATGTGCGCTGGCTTCGCGAGTGCACGTGGTCTCCAGCACCTGTTAAGGGTCCTAACAATGCAGTATTCTCCATGCTGTTACTGAAAAGACAGTGCTCGTAGAGGTGGGTTCTGGTGTCCAGCCTGTAGTCATCGCTGTGCACCGTTTACAGCTACCAAACCCACTCTGGTATTTATTACAGAGAAGCCCTTCGTTAAGTGTAAGTGTTACTCCTTCAGCAAAATACCCACTGACCCGCGCTCCTCATGCCACTTCGCACAAGTGGATTTCCGTGGTCTCCCAGTGACGAGTGCCCACCCTGGGATAATACCTCATGATGCAAAAACATACCCTTCACGACTATTTGGACAGAAGTTTAAAACCACGTCTGATGAAGTTCAACTTTCAGGAACCAAGGACTGTCAGAAAACATTAGCCTCTACATTATGCATGCATCTAGCTTTCCTGAGATTCTGCCTTTTATAAAGGAATAAACAGTATGGATAAGATGAACTGTACATTTTTTAAACCTGATTGCCATTAAAGCAGAAATTCTAAGGTTGCCACAATTTTGTTTCCAGTCAGTCATTTGGCCTTGTCCGGCTTACATGTTGGCCTTTGAGTGAGTCAGCAGCCTGAAAAGGTGCTCAAGCATCTGAAGTGGTCGCTTTTTAGATGGTTTTTGTTCTTGGATAAATGTAAACTTAAACGATTGTATGAAGAAGTTCAAAAGCCAACCCTTCCAGCATAGAATCCAGGTGCTGAAACCAAGCGTTTGTTTCTCCATTTTCTTCCTTAATCCCCGTTAGTGATGCTCTTCCTACCTTAAAGCGCTAGCCGGTGGGCTCGCCCGCTTCTAGTCCATTCATATAACCAGGATTTGGAACGCTGCTATGAATTGCACTGTGAAAAAGATGTCTCCCTCCAAGGAGTGTGTGGGATGTGTGTGTGTGGTGTGTCAGGTTAGGTTTTTGCTTCTGTGTTTTTTCATGCCCGCCATACTCATCAGAGCATTAAGAACATTGCAATGTCCATCTTTTATGTGAGTCTGCATGTTGGAGAAATGCGGTCCTTGTGCCCCTCAGCCAGTGGCGCTTTGGTGACTCAAGGGCTCCTGTGTTTCTTGGGTCTTGCATTTGCATAGACTGGTGGTGGCAACAGCACAGAAGACAAGTATTTTTAAGCAGAGAATCTAGACAATGAAGGAGAAATGTTCATTTCACAGAAGCACAGTTGCCAACAGGACCCATGCGGAAGCTTCCTCCCCAGTCATGAGCACTCGGCAGGTATTAATCTAGTTCTGCTTCATGTGGCCTCTCCAAAAACTGAGCAGCCAGGTAAAAAAATACAGCTTGCGTGACGGGCCTATTCCATCCACGCTGGCGTCAGTGCATGTGAGCATGCCTGCAGCGAAGCCAGAGCCGAGCACCAGCCGCCTCGGGGTTGGAACCACACTAGGGTGCAGACAGGAGGTTGCGTCCGCTTTGCCCAGCGGCCCAGCAGATTCATTCCAGTGTTTTTAAATTTTCCATCAAAGGTCATTGTTTTTTGTGGCCTAGACTCTTTTCAACTGATGTGGAAATAGCATGGGTTTAAAGAAAACAAACCAAAACATCAGATCCCAAATTCCACGCGCGCCCTCGATTCTTGTCCCCTGTTGCTCCAGTCACACAGATGCAACTTTCATGCCTTTTTTTTCTGCTTCGGTGTGTGTTTTGCATCAAGAATTGTGTCTTTTTCTTTCTGTCTGTCTCTAATCCAGCTTACTGTGGAACATAGGAACGTAGGTCTTTGGCGATCTTGTTGAGTCTGAATCTGATCCTGTTCTTTAACTCAGTGAGCCACTATCTGCAGTTTTGTACATGATATAGTATTTTGAAGGTATGGAACCTTAAGAAAAAAAAATAGCCAATTAGTTCTCCCCCTCCCCCTAGAAATGGAAAGTTATGTTTGGCAAATAGTGTGTGTCTTATTTTCCTGTTGAACAACAATTGCTATTTATTTTTTTATTGCCTAGAACTTCACCATGTTGTATAGAACCCCGTAGCTAGTTGAATTCATCAAGCATCAGTACCTTTTTCATTTCACATGTATTTAATGTGACAGTTTTTCAGTACTGTATGTGTTAATTTCTACTTTTTTAATATTTAAAATTGCTTTTAAATAAACATACTCTCAGTTGATCCCAAACATCTGAAATCAGGCCATTTTGTGAGTTATCCACTCCTCTTCTGACTGGAAGATAAACCAAGACTTCATTGGCTTTGCTTTGGGGGGTTGGATAACAGGAGTGAGCCTGGCGTGGCAGAAGCCCCTCCCCCAGCCTGCCCAGGAGGCGCCTTGGACCTTGAGTCCCCTCTCCCTCCGCCGCACCTGCTTCTGCTCCCAGTCCTGGTGCCAGGTGCCCGTGCTAAATGCGCCAGCAGCAGGCCAGTGCCATGTTGCCCATCAGGTGGATGCGTTCTGCCAGGCAGTGGGGACCACACAGGTGCTCTGCCTGCCGCATCTCACTGAACCCCCTCACTGGGCCAGTGCAGAGGTGAGGTGCAGATCCCTGCACTTAATGGAGATTTGCAACCAGAAAACCTGTCAGGACTCTGTGCCAGGGTCTTGAGGTGTCCACACATGGGAGACTGCCAAAGAAGTGCAATGGTAGAAAGTGGGGGTGACCCCACACTGCATGGAACACTTACTATAGGGGAGACTTGTGCCTTCACACCTGCTCTGTCCTCTCTGAGGCCAAAAGTATCAGCCACTTTGAAGAAATGCACCCACAAAGCCGCAGTGATCTGCTTGGGGCCAACGATAGCTCTGTCCCTCCCTACCCCTGCTTTTTCCCTCCCCAGAGAGAGTGTGTGTGTGTGTGTGTGTGTGTGTGTGTGTGTGTGTGTGTGTGTGTGTGTGTGTGTGTGTGTGTACATGCACATGTGCCAGTCTTGGGGCTTGAACTGGGCCTGGACTCTGCCCCTGAGCTTTTGTGCTCAAGGTTAACACTCTTACCACATGAGCCACAGTCTTCCTAACATGATCTTCAGATCTCAGTCTACTGAGTAGCTAAGATTATAGGCCTGAGCTAGCAACATCCAGCCCCATTTATATCTCTAGTTCTAATCACTCTCCGGGCAGGAGTAGGGTACAGTCACATTTGTTAGTATAACTCAGCCTCTGTTGCTTCATTTCCCAGGTAGTTCCATCCATCATGAATCTAAATCTGTTCTTGCCCCAACTTGGCAATACATGGGTTTTCTGAGTGAGTGGATCACTTTAGGATGACAGTATAGTGCCAAGGGCAGTTCCTAAGGACGGAGCCCACATTGAGGGTCCCAGTTCTTGCACCAAGATCTGGGGTATCCCATTTGGTGTCAATTCCAGGCTTAAGGGGCTGAACCATGTGGTCCAGGTGTAATAGGCCTGGCTGTGTACAGGATTTTCCTCAACCTGGGTTTAAGGCAGACTCCTGGGACCTTCCTGGGACTCAATCTCCAGGAACTCTGACCAGGTCTTTAATACTGAGGGGTTTGGGTGAACTTAACCAAACTGAAAACTTGGCCCTAGGGTATCTCCAAGCATGGGTGCAGGTGACATGTGGGCTGCCTCTCGGTCTCAGATCCGCTTGAAGCTATCTGCTGAGCTGAGTTGGACCTGCAGAAGAGCAAAGCCCAAGGCTTCTTCTCATGGTGGTTTTGCATGTCAGTTTGGGCCTCCTGAGCCTCTGATGGGCAGCCCTAGTCTCCGCTGTGTGGGTAATGTTTGCAGCACGGCTGTGTTTATCTGAGCTTCAATTCTTGGGTTCAGAAGCTTACCTGCTCTGTGTGTATACAGGCCGCTGTCCTCACAGCCCCGGGCCCTCACCTCTGCCCTGTGTCCTGAGCACATCAGGACCCCCTACATCTGGCTCCCTAGTGCAGACCCACAAAGTGCCTGCTGCAGGATCCCTCGGGCCAGGACTGTCACTTCTCTGAACTGGACATTTCATTTCCTGGTGTATTCTTCCCGCATGGCTGACCTGCTGGCAGAGGGTTGAGGAAGGCCAGCTTTGACTCAGTTTCTCTTCACAAAGGGTCATGACCGGGGCAGCACTAGGCCATGTGAGGGTTCAGATTTAGCTTCCACCATCACAAGAGGCTAGACTTTGGCACATTCCAGTTCAGCATCTGAGCAGCGCGTCCTCATTCAGGAAATGAAGGGTGCTCACTTCCCCTTTCCCAGTCCTCCTGAGACCTGGGTTCAGATCAGGTTAGCTGTGGTCAGCTTTAGGGCCTGCTGCTGGGACAGGCAGGCCCAAGGCCTGGGAAGCCTGTCTCCAGCACAGCACAGATGCCATCCTAAGCTTCGAGCAAAGGGCACAGATGGGAATTCAGGCGCCCTCTTTCACCCTAGCCTCTGCCACTTGGCAAATGGCCACGTGATCGTGATCTAATCACTCAGTCTTGGTTTGCCTGAGACTTACGCCCTCAAAAGTGAGCTCAAAGTGCCACCGCTCTGGTGAACCACTGGCTGTGTCCTGTCCCCCTCCTCCTACCCCCACCCCATCATGCTAGTCCTCTTAAGGTCTTTCTACCATGCTACTCCTTAGTGATTTCCACCCTCAAGGTGACTTTGTGAACCACAATGCTACAGAAAGCATCCCTGCACAACCAGCTTTCCCTGGGTTGAAGATGGAGCTCATTGGCAGCGCTTGTGCGAGGTGTTGAGTTCAGCCCTCAGCCCCAGTGATGATGGGGGAGGGGAGGGTGCAGGTCTCTAAGAAGCCGCAGAGCCAAACTCCCCAGATTTAGCCACTGGCTTCTTCAGTCTTACACACGCCAGGACACAGCCCTGCGGCACGTCTGATCACATCGCTGATCACCTGCAGCACATCTTCTGCCAGGTCCTGAGTGGCAGTTTGGTGGCCTGGCTGGGTCAGCCATGGCCAGATCCAGCTGGATCTGGAGGTGCAGTCCTAAAGATGGCAAGCTTAGGCTTTGAAATCAGAGAAGCACAGGCACTGAGCCTTCATCGCCCCAAACTTTGGTACTTTTCTTTGCCTGAGTGGGAAAGTGGCTGGAGGGTCAGACTGTGTGAGACATAAATGAAATAAGGAGGTGGTGCATGCCAGGGGCTTCACTTAAGCTTGACCCTGGAGCAGACAGTAATCAAGATCACCACTCATCCTTCAAGAACGTCCAGAACTGCCAGGCACTAGTGGCTCATGCCTGTAATCCTAGCTACTCAGGAGGCTGAGATCGGGAGATAACGGCTTGAAGCCAGCCTGGGCAAGAAAGTTGATGAAAGGCCAATTAACCAGCAGTAAAGGCAGACATAGAGCTGTGGACCAAGTGGAAGAGCACCATCATCTGGCTCTCCTTTCCAGGGAAGTGACTGTGGGCCTCAGAGGGAGCAGGGCGGGGGGCCTGGGCCCTGAGCAGCGTGTCTGAAGGCTCAGAACCCCACTTCCTGTGGGAACAGCCCTGTGCAGGCACACGGCACGCCCTTGAAGTGTGAGCATGAGCTTAGAAATAAAAACGAAACCGCTCGGCAGGTTGTACCTCTCAGTTCCGAGTCCCTGAGTGTGAGGCACCTCGCTGGCCGGAGTCGCGCTGGGCCAGGGTGCTGTGCATTCCTTGGCTTGCTGTCCCTTCCATCTTCAAAGCGCATTTCAGCCTCTACATTTGTCCACTTCCTCTGCAGCCCTTTCTTGACACTCCTTTCTAGAGATCCCAGTGATTACACGGGACCCACAATTCCTGGACCCTCTTCTATGCCCAGACCTAACTTACCCTAACTCGCAGAGGCAAGTGGACATCCTTGAGCAGGTGTCTCCTGAGGGCTCCTCCCATCGTCCTGAGTGGGAGCCTGTGCTGTGGGATCTCCCTCAGGGCTCACATAGTTGTCTTACACCCACCCAGGCAGCCAGGACTTGCTATGGGCTCTGCCCTTGTCAGGTTTATACCCAAACTCAGCCCAGTAACTCCCTCCAGGATGAGCAGGAAGGCAGGTGGTCTACACCGGTGAACAGCTATCAAAAAGTCAAGCCATGCATGTTGGCACATGCCTGTAATCCCTGCCCTTGGGATGCTGAGGCAGGAGGATTCTGCATTCAAGGCCGGTCTGGGCCACCTAGTATTAGCTTCAGTAAAAGAAGGAAGAGGATGGGAAAGAGAGAAAGGGAAAAGAAAAAGGAAAGGAAGGAGGGGCAGGCTCTGTATGCGGGATGTGTGGGAATATCAACTGCACTTGGTTGAGTCGGGTATCAAGTGCCAGTTTTGGTAGCAAGAAGAAGAATGAGCCTCGCAGGAGGGAGGAGGGGCTGAACAGATGGCGAGCTTTCTATTTCTGTGCCAAGATTCCTAACTTTAACCAAATAAAAGACCAAATGCCTTTGTTTTCCCCAGACATCAGCTTGAGGCAGCATGGCCTTCTTGCGGTGCTGTCCACACTGTGCCCAGCCTCACCTGAATCCGCTTGACCTTTCTCAAGTCACAGAGGTTGGTAAGAAGCGTCAGCTCTGTCCTGCAGAGCACACGGGCTGTAACGTCAGGGTGGGACCAGGATTTCGGTGTCCAGAGTTCTCTCCTGTGCTGTGCCATCTTCACAGGGCACTGTGGCGGGCACATAGAATAAGTTCTATGGCTGCCTGTGCCAGCTGTAAGACGGTGGATAGATCCACCCCTGTCCGAAAGCAATGCCCAAGACTACCCCCAAAAGACTGCCCCCAGAGCTCTGGTGATGTCTGCTCCATTCTGTGCTCGGCCTAACTAGCACCACATCCTAGAAACCTGGATGTCTTTGTGTGCAAGAAAAGGCTGTGCTGTCAGATGACCTTGGGGGGATCCTAAATTAAGGCACATAGTTATTCCAAAAATAACTAAGGCAAGGGCTGGAGGCATTGGCTCAAGTGGTAAAGCACCTACCAAACAAAGCCTGAGGCTGACTTCAAGCCCCAGTATAAGGAAGAGACCAAGAAGATGGTATTTGATGTGTGTATGCGTAATATATGTTCTTTTGCAATAGGGCTTCCCTATGTAGCACAGACGGGCCTCGAACCACCATCCTCCTGCCGCTCAGCCTCCCGAGTGCTGGGATTACACACCTCGTTCAATATAAAAATATCAAACAAACTTGAGGGCCACTTGCGATGTGCCTGCCACACACTGTCCTCTGTAGAAACAAGTGCAGACACTCGGTGGGGGCTGGAAGATCAGCACTCC